AATACATTGCCGCGCTGAGGAAGGCCGCTAAACACTGCGAGTTCAAGGATCTAGAAGAACGGCTGAGAGACAGATTTGTATGCGGACTAAGGCATAGAGAATTACAGCAGAGACTTTTTGCCAAAGAAGACTTATCATTCCAAGATGCCTTGAGAGAGGTTACTGCAGAAGAGGCAGCAGGCGGCGCCATCAAGAACATGCGGCCGATCAAAAGCACTCCAGAGGCTGCGTCCGTGCACCAGGAAGGAGTCCAAAGGAACCCAGAGGAGGATCCTGATGATGAAGTAGACCGTCTCTACCCCACGAAAGAAGGAAAACAGAAAGGAAGCTCTTCAGCTCTTCCCAAGTGCCTCGGTTGTGGAGGTCGCCACAAGAGGACCGACTGTAGATTCCGCTCTGCTATCTGTAGGGCATGCGGAAAGCAGGGACACATTGCAGCTGTGTGTCTGGGCCGTCCGAAGGTACAACCTCAGGAAGAATTGCGCCTGAAAGGTACCAGGGTTCCCAGCCAAAACAGGGTGGGGTTCTGCACTTCGCGCAGAAGCATTTATAGGACAGGCACACACAAGCCCATTAAGAAAAAGCTGTCACTTAAGGTGAAGCTACAAGGGGTTCCATTGGCTATGGAACTGGATACGGGGTCTGCACTTTCAATCATTTCCATGCACACGTTTAGGAAGATTTGTTCTGGCAGCAGATTTCAGGCCAAGCTGAGGCCTTCCGACATTGTGTTAACAGACTTTCAAAACTCCAGAGTGTGTGTTAAGGGGGAGGCCACCCTTAACGTACAGTATAAGGATTTTGAAGGTCAACTAGATGTAATAGTAGTAGGGGGTGAACGAACGAGTCTCATAGGACTCGATTGGTTTGAGGCCTTGGGGATACACGTCACAGGGCTCAATAGCTTGGAAACACTCGACCTACAAGAAGTCTGCAAAGAATTTGCAGATGTTTTCAGCCCTCAGCTGGGCACATACAAAGGACCCCCTGTGTCACTGAAGTTAGACCCCAATGTCACCCCTATTAGAATCAAAGCAAGAAGGGTCCCTTTTGCTTTAAAGGGTAAAATTGACACTGAATTGGACAAATTGATTCAGCAAGGAGTTCTAGAACCTGTCGACTCCAGTCCTTGGGAGACCCCCATTGTCACGCCTCTCAAGGCAAATGGGGACATTCACATCTGTGCAGATTACAAATGCACTCTAAATAAGGCATTGCAGCAACATGCCTATCCTGTCCCTGTGGTCAGTCATATTCTGGCCTCCCTCAAGGGGGGGCGCGTTTTTGCAAAGCTTGGCCTAGCTCAGGCGTATCAACAGCTGCCTGTTGATGATGCTGCTGCTGTAGCTCAGACCATTGTGACCCATAGGGGGGCATTCAAGGTAAAGAGGTTACAATTTGGAGCAAATGTCGCTCCTGGAATTTTCCAAAGCGTAATGGAAAATACACTACGGGGTATACCAGGGGTTTGCCCCTATTTTGATGATGTCGTAATTGCAGGAGACTCTACACACAACTTAGCTGAGAGATTAAGGGCTGTTCTGCTGAGGTTCAGGGAAACGGGCCTCAAACTTAAGAAGGACAAATATAAAATTGGGGTGCCTTCTACAGATTTTCTGGGATTCAAAATTGATGCTACTGGGATTCACCCTGCTGAATCCAAACTGAAAGCCATTATGCATGCCCCTAGGCCAAAGTCTAAGGCCGAACTACAGGCTTTTCTGGACCTTCTGAATTTCTATAACTCCTTTCTCCCACACAAGGCTAGTGTAGCTGAGCCTCTTCACAGGCTCTTGGACAAACAGGCAGTCTGGCAGTGGTCACAAAAACACGAAGCAAGTTTCAATGAGGTCAAGGCCTTACTCACGTCTAACAGAGTACTTGCACATTTCAATGAATCCCTTCCTGTGTGCATCGCTTGTGATGCTTCTCCTTATGGGGTGGGAGCAGTACTAAGCCACCTCAGATCAGACGGAACTCAGGTTCCTGTTGCATATTACTCCAGAACCTTGTCTTCTGCTGAGCGAAATTATGCTCAAATAGACAGGGAGGCTTTGGCTATTGTTGCTGGAATCAAAAAATTCCATGATTTTTTATATGGCAGGCACTTCACGGTCTTCACTGACCATAAGCCTTTGTTGGGACTGTTTACCACACATAAACAAACTCCCCAGATCATCTCCCCCAGAATGCTGAGATGGTCTATCTTTCTGTCTGCCTATGATTTCTCCTTACTTCACAAACCTGGGAAGGAAATGGGCCATGCTGATGGCCTCAGTAGATTACCCCTGCCGGTAATAGAAGCTGACCCTGCACCAACTATCAATCTCCTTTCAATTCAGGCCTTGCCTGAGTCTCCTTTAGATGCCAGGGATGTGGCCGCTGAATCAGCCACAGATCTCACACTTTCACGTGTCCTTTCTTGGGTTTTATCTGGATGGCCAGAGAGCTGTCCAGGCACTGAGTTTCAGAGTTTCTGGTCTAAAAGGAACGAATTGTCCACCTTCCAGGGTTGTCTGCTTTGGGGAAGCAGAGTTGTCATTCCTACCTCAATGAGGACTAGGGTCTTAGGTTCCCTCCACGAGGGTCATCCTGGCATTGTATGCATGAAGGCGCTTGCGCGCAGCCATTTGTGGTGGCCTGGGTTAGATAGAGACATTGAAGCTAAGGTACATGCATGCCACCTTTGTCAACGCTCGCGCCCTGAAATGCCCCAAGCTCCTGTACATAGATGGGAGGAAACACAGTCTCCATGGTCTAGGGTGCACATTGACTACGCTAGGCCCTTTCAGGGTCAATTCTTCTTGGTCCTAGTTGATAGCCATTCAAAATGGCTTGAGATTGTACCTGTCTCTTCCACCACCACTGCAAAGACTATTCAAGTACTGAGGGGGATTTTTGCTGCACACGGGCTTCCAGACGTCCTCGTGTCTGACAACGGCCCTCAATTCACTTCTTCCGAATTCCAAGCTTTCTTACAGGCTAACATGATTCGTCATGCTACCTCTGCACCTTTCCACCCGTCCACCAACGGTATGGCTGAACGCATGGTTCGCATCACCAAGGACGCCTTGAAGAAAATTACCTATGGAGACTGGCATCACAGGTTGGCTAACTTCCTCCTTTCTTATCGCACTACACCATCCACTTCTACCGGGAGGAGCCCTGCTGAACTTCGTTGGGGGCGCAAACTGACTACCAAGCTTGACCGGTTGCATCCGGATAGACTTCCTTCCACACTCACACACCCCAGGGCACCTAGACAACTGCTTGTGGGTGCCCCGGTTTGGACTCGTAACTACGGGCCTGGCCATTCATGGGTCCCCGCTACTGTATCCAGTGTCACAGGTCCTCTGTCCTACGAGGTGTTCCTGGACAACAGTCTTGTCCTGTGTCGACACATCGACCAGCTCCGCCCTCGACGGGACCTTCCCACTGAAACTCCTGAGTCTTTTCCAGGGAGGGAGGGGGACCCTTCTGGGCAAAGGGAAGAGTACGGGCTGCTGCCCATCATTAATGAGGAAGCTACAAACAGCTCATCCCAAAATTCCGCAAGTGCTCCAAACAGGAATTCACGGAGCCCAACTAGAACTCAGGCATCAGTGCCTACTCCAGCCAGGGAGTCACCCCCGGGGGCATAATCACTACTCACCCACATCACTCAGTACTCCAGTCAGGGAGGATATCCGGGAGCGTCCAAACAAACCACACCCTGCAAGAGAGCTGGCACACATTCCCTCTAGTTGGCCCGACACTAACCCTGTCCCTAGAAGGGGGCAAGCACACAGGGAGGTGGTCGATGAACCAAATCCCAACTACAACACCTCTGACTTCACTTGAGACAACTGAGTTTTGGGACAGCACTGAAACCCCCACAAGCCTGGGGACAGAACGGGAACAAGGGGACAGACAACCTCCTGACAGGTCTTGGATGGACCTGGGAGGTTCTACAGAATCGCCCAACAGTGACAGTCACTTAAAGGGGCCAGAGAGCCTGCAGCTAGGCAGGACAACCAGATCAAACAGAGAAAGAAGCCCTGGCCTGACGAGCCCGGTAGGCAAGCAAGCAGCCAGGCATTGGAACACAGTCCTTGGGAATCACCAGGGTATAACAGGGGGGACAGGTATGCATCACCCCTCAGTCAAGGGGCACTTGGCAGGTACCCAGAAGTAAGGAGGTCACAGAGAGCCAGAAGATCTCCTAAGTATTTAGAAGATTTTGTAACTCTACTGGCAAAACAGAGTTAACAAAGAACATTCCTGTACACACAGGAGAGAGAACATTGAGACTGATAGAAGCAGGGAAAATACCTGGCATTAAGTAGTATGGGCACTATGCTCGCACGAGGTTGTATGTTATTATTGCATGATCAAAGTCTTAGCCGGGGGGGAAGGGGTGTTATGTCCTGAGCCTGTGGAAGCAGGCTTGGGGCATTGCAAGCGGTCCTGGGCAGGTGCAAGCTGCCCGGGACTAGACAGGCTGTCGCCAGTACTTGTGCGCATGCGCGAGTGCTGGCACGCCAAAAGTTGCAGATTGACCCGGGAATGGCCTATATAAGAGGCCGGGAGTTTTGGGCATTGTCGGCGTCTTGTAACCAGTATGCTGAACAGAAATAAAGAAGTTCCTGAGAACTACAACTGCTTCTCGTGTCATTGCCATTTCGCGAAGGACGCAACAGGTAGGTAGATTAAAAGACTGGGGTTTTCAGGAAAAGATCTTTATAAATATTTCATGGGATTCTGCAGTGCAAGCTATCTTTTGTAAGCACAAACTGCATTATGCTGAATGTACCACATTTGAAATATATCTCAGTTAAAGTGCAAATTTTACTTGAAATCTGTATTTCAATTTGATTCTAGCCTTTGCTGGAATAGGGTCATTAAATACTTACAGACAGACACTCATGCACATGCAAACGCAAGAGAGATTGCTATGATGATCAAAACTGCATTTGTTCCAAATCTGATTTTATTTTATTTTTTTCTTGTCAAATTTCTAGTAAAAGAGGAGATTAAAAAAAAGAGTATTTCTCAGAGTAGACAGAAAATACTGAGACATTTGAAAAATGACAAAGACAAAGAAGAGTAAGTATCAATTCATTTGTTTTGATGGCAGAGCAAACATATATCAGTAGGAAATATGGCACACCATTGATCATTAAAAGAATTACTTATTAATTCTAAAATGTGCATTCTTCACTGCATATTTCCACAAGGAAAATGTTATTAAAATGATTCAATGATAATACATTATTAAAAGTTATTTAACAAGCTATAAAATTATTTTAAATAATACATTATTTTAGTTCAGGGGAACGACACAAATCAGTGGCAAAAGATGAAAGGTCAGCTTTTGAAAATCACCTAGATAAATTTCTCAAGAATGCCTGTATATAACAACGATACGAATAAATCTGATACTTTGGTCAACTGAATTAGTAGGTAGAAGAAGACCTACACCTGCCAAAATGTATGGATCAAATCTGACCAAATCCTTGTTTTGCCTTCTGGTCCAAAGATCCAGTAAAATCAAATTAAATTTGTGTTTAAAATGTGAGATGGAATGTTAATTTCCAAACATACACTATTTGCAGGATTTCTAGAAGTGCCTCAGGTTCACACTTTGGTGAATATGAGGGAGAAGGGAATTTGCAATGGGTGGATAATTATTATATAGTGGCAAGGGAGAATCTAGACAATATATATACCACCTATTTATTCCTTTTTGGGGGATATCAATGATATGGAGAAATCATAGGAAGGCCATGGGACAAATTTACATTTCTAAATAGTCTGCTAGCAAACACATTAAAATCATATACATCTGTACCATATAGATATATGCACACAATCAAGTGTTGGATAGCTGAATTCAGCAGGAGCTTTGGTTAGAAGATGTGTCCTGAACCAAAACAGATACTGCGTATTAAATACCAGAACATGTTAATTAAAAGTGAAGTATTCATAATAAGATCACTTTGGATGCAGAGTAAAGGCTTAACCCGGCTATTAATGAATGCTAATTGACATTTGTTAATTTGAAGTAAATGGTAAGTTAATTAAGAAATATATAGAATAAGAAAGCCTCACTGATTCTAAATTACATCTTGAAGAGAGATAAAAATTGGGGGAAAGGAAACAGAAAGCTCCATTAGTTTTCCCTTATTTGTTTTTTGCCATTTGCCCGAGTGGTCAAAAAGCTCATAAATAATACATTCTCTAATATCCCTTCTTGTCATCTTGGGCACCAAGTCACAACTCCCATCTTCTCTCGAAGCATCTGGAACTCCAGATCTTGGGTCGGTGGTTTGATTCGCCATCATTACTGCATACTAATAAGTCCTCCCTATTGTACATCCTGTACATAGTGCTACCTCATGTCCATCTGCTTTATTCCTCAATCTTTGCTTTCTGTGACAATTGAAAGCACTTTTATTGTCTTCAAATATTTCTGTAAATTCTTGGGTTTGGTAACTCCTAAGTCCTTGTCAAAGTTGACAAAGCTTTCTGAATTTTTCACTAGTTGTACTCAGCCTCAATGGAGGACAGTGCCATGGTAGTATGTTTTCTGCTGGGTCAGCTGATTGCTCCACCACTTATGGAGGAATCGATACTTACTTGTAGACTTACAATGAGCTTTATGTCTTTTCTTGATGTTTCTTTCCACTTCTCAGATTCAGGAATTTTACATTTCAAATCCACAAAGACATTTCTAGGCTGAGGTTGTTCTTTAACTCCCTGTATGGGAACCTCACTATCTCCTAATTCCTCTGAGACCAAAAGGTCAAAAGCCAAAAAAATAAAATAATAAATCCCCTACTTTTTGTAATCATTTCTGTACATATTGTTTGTGGAGATTATATAGAAGTTCAGTCTCAGATTAAATATAGTTTATTTTTGAAAACTCTTTTTCTTTTTTTCCATCAATTTAGGTTTTTTTCTTCCTCAAACAATATGATAGTATAATGTGATTAAAAAAACACTAATGAGATCAGATTGCTATCTGAAATCAGGATATTTCCGTGTCATAACTGTAACTAAGTATAGTACATTAACAGTTGCCTCCTCAAACTACATACATACCATACTACATACATACCAGCTCTTTAATTTTTCATCTGTATATTGCCAGGCCTACTTGTGTTGAGTGCAGAATTAAACTTTGTCTCTGACATGAAATGTCACCTTTCCTTTAATTAATATTTTCTGCCTGGTTTCAGTTATTGCTTCTCAGAGCAACTCCAACATGGATCTAAGTCTTCTTCCAGTCACCCAAATATGCTTTCTACTCTTGCTGCAGTGGTAGATACCAATATGCTGAGGCAGGGAGGTTAGAGATTAATTAATTTCCTTTACATTTCACTTTTTTCCTTTATGCTTCTTATCCTCCTATATATTATATGCCTCTCCACAATTCCTCAGTATCTTCAGTGGGGATTCACTATTGCTTTGAATCTTGTTTTAGTTACTATTGCCGGCTCTTCAGTACATATTCAGTACATATTCTACCTTCAAGAAGAAGCACTCTATTCTATTCTATCCTGGTTTTGGCTTAGGCCTGTGTGACTTTTTTTCCTCTTACTTTTCTTCTATGACATTTCTCTATATTCTAAATTAGCAGATGTTTTCTGAAAGTTTAACCTAACTATTTTTTCCATAATAATCAGCCTCTGAACCCACAATTAGGAGCTATAAAACTAAGTCTTTCCAGGCTTTTATCTTATCCATTCTAGTCATTAAATCCCTCCCTCCCTCCTTCCCTCCCTCCCCCCCCTCTCTCTCTCTTTGGGCTGTTGGATTTGATTTTTTCCTCTTATCTTTTTTTATATGGCACTTCTCCATATTCTCACATTTCTCCATATTTTAAATTAGCAGTTTAACCTAAGTATTTTCTCCATAATAATCAGACTCTGAACACAAAAGTAGGAGCTATAAATCTGAGTCTTTCCAGGCTCTTATCTTATCCATACTTGTCATTAAACTTTTTTATCTCTCTCAACCTAATAATCTTCCAGCAACTTCACAACTATTCCTTCTCCAACAGCATTAAATACTGAGTAATTAAGTAGCAGAACATCCCATTAAAAAAAGAAAATGGTCCCAATGTAGATGTTTTAAATGTCATATGTGGATTAGACCAGCTATCAATGATTATAATTAAAGTAAATATAATTTTTTTAAAAATTATATGAAGACAGAAAGTTTTTGAACAAAAAGTTCATAAACTTGCTTCTATCCAATCTACATCTTAAAGAGATGGAATTAGGAGAGACAGGCAGACAGTGCAAATTTCCTTTGTCCCTTAAATACAGATTTATCTAACTAATGATAAGCTAGGCAGAAACAGACCCAGGGACTATTGAGATGAAGACACTTCCCTACATCTGTTTTTTGCACTTTTCCCAGTGGTCAAAATGGCTCATCGTGCACAAAGTTGACCATCATCAAATTCTAAATGAGATGGTAAATTTTTAATTGACCCAGTTAGTATGCACCAAGAGGTGGGAACTTCTCATTACAGCTACTTTTTCATATTTACATAGATGGGAGAGACCAACATGACTAAGTCTGAAATGTGTCTTTTTTTTTTTTTGAAACAGAAACCACCGTCGTCTTGAAGCAGAAGAAAAAGAAAGCCAAAAAGTTATGGAACAACTGGCAGCTGCTATGCTCTTTGGATATCATGGTCCTCAAAACGTAAAAGCAGCTGTAACACTATATAAGCTTTTAGCTGAAGAAGGGTCCCATAGAAGCCAGACTGTATGTGTTTCTTTAATTAACTGCAGCTTTAAATAATTACTAGTCAGTTTAAAATGAATAATTAATAATTGAAAGGAAATAAGTCTATGTACATGGAACAATGAGACCTCAACTAGGGGGTAAGTAAATAATGAATTCAGCTGACTAATTTTACAAGGATTTTTGCATATATGCATAAAATATACCCACAAATTTATTGACTGATCAAAAAGTTAGAGTAAGACTTAAGCCTGAATATAGCTGGAATGTACATTTATAAGAATGTTAAAAGGCCAGCTTTACATTTTTTTCAAAATCATATCAGAGAAGGTGGTGTTCAATTTATGTGTGAGGATAGAGGACTGGAGAAGGAATATAACTCAGGTTGCATAGATTTGAGAGGGATGGAGGGTTGCATGGTAATGGATATGGGGTTGGAGAAAGCTGGAAAGTGGAATTGACCTGGAAGACTATTATTTTGGTAAGATTACAAAAGCAGTAGAGAAAATTATTTGACCTGCAGACAGTTGCATGATGAGAGAAGTGGAGCTTTCAATCTGGAGCAATGGGGGTAGTGACAACAACTCTGCTACAGTAATAACCATTGCTAAAGGATGGTTGTCTGGGTTTGGAGTGGCAGCAGCAATGGCCAGGCATGGTGGCTACCATTGCCACCATTGCTGGAGATGTCATTGGAGTGTTGGCAAGGAATAGCACCCAGGTGGATTAGTAGCAATTGCGGAGTAGGATTGAGAGTGGAGGAATGCAGAGCCCACTGCCAATAAGAACTTCCAGCTAGTGCTGGAATGACATCAGTAACAATGGCAGTGAGAGAGGAGTAGAATGTGATAGCCATTGCTGCAAGGGTTGGCAGTAACAACAGCAAAGGAAAATTGTAGTGGAGTTATGGTCAAGTTAACAAGGGTGAACTTTAATAAGGTTAAAGACTGGATTTTTTATTTTTTTTTATTAAATTTTTGAAATTTTACAAAAACAAAACAACCCATCCCCAAACCTCCCCAACCCTCCCATTCCCTCCCCCGACCTTCCCAGAGCTGAACATAGGCTTAATTGAAATTTCTTCAAAAAATCTTAAAAAAAATATATAAACCATGAATAAATCTAAATACTAAATACATTAATTAAACAAACTATAAGATAATTAACAATAATATATATATATATAAAAACATAAATAGCAAAAGAATAATACTTGAAAGAAAAAAGAATAAAGAAAAGGAAAAAAGAAAAAGATAATAGAAAGTATAATAAAAATAAAAGATAAAAATTAAAAAAAGGAATAAAATCTATAAGATGTTTTAAATTTTAAATATACGTTATTGAAAAACTAAATAATATTTTTTAATATCCAACTTATATTGTATAAAATCTATCCATTTTTTCCATACCGCAAAATACTTCTCCTGCAATTGATCCTTCAAGAAAGCCGAAATCTTTGCCATGTTAAAGACTGGATTTAAGATCCTCTGGGAATGTGCTTTCTAATAGGGTTGGAGATGGTGTGACTGATTTACCAGAATGCTGCCTTCCATCCATAGGTTGGTTGTAGGAAACAATAGAGTTTGGAAAGGGGAGTGTGGTTGGTTTTGGCATGGTGGTTGAAAAGATAGGATGGAAAGCAACATGGCTGCCCTATCCAAGTGATGTCAGGATTTCTTCTATGAAACCATATCATTTGGTGGGACTGTGGAAGCATGGATTCCTCTATTATGTGCTTGTCCTATTGAACAATATTCCCCTGAGATCTAGATGGCAGCAATCCTGTTAGCTTTCTGGAAAGCCTTGGTCCAGCTTTTCAATCAGACATTTTGGCCAGGCTGTTGACTGAGCTCTACATGTATGGGATAATCATTATGAGAGAGCTTTTTTGGAACCTTGGTTACATTGTAATGTTTTAGATATTGTGTTTGTTTGTTTTTTTTATTGCGCGCTATCTAGAATTACATAGTTGAGATGGGCAGCTATACAATTTCATTCAATAAATAATCCCAGAGATTTCTGTTTAGCTTCCACTAGAACTGTGTTGGCAAACCTATGGCACGTGTACCACAGGTGGCACACAGAGCCCTCTCTTTGGGCACGTGCACCGTCGTTCCAGTCCTAGGCCTTCAGCTGTATTTTATAAAACCTTTTCACTTTAGGCCTCTGGCTCCCTGTGCAAAAGAAAAAAAAAGATTCAATCAATCAATCAATTTCAACTTCTCGCGGGAAAAAAAATCTCACAAAGTTGAAATTGATTGAACTTTTTAGTCCCACCCAGTCTGCCATTACCACCGCAGCCACACCCACCCAATTGGCCACACCCACCCAATGGGTCATGCCCACCTGGCACCCAATGATACATAAGTGGGTTTTGGGTTGCAGTTTGGACACACGGTCTCTAAAAGGTTTGCCATCACTGCATTAGAACATCTACAGGGAAGGAGAATCCACTGCCTCTCTAGATAATTGGTCCCCTATTCAAACTGTTTCCTGAACACCCAATTGGAAACTATTTTCATATAACATCCATGATTCCAAGTCATGAGCTCTGGAATGAGAAATCAGGATTTTTTGCCAGTTTTTATGTTGAAAAAGAAGTATTTATTTCGTTGGCTTTATGGGTGGGGGAAGACCTTATGCCTACTAATTTTCTCACACTTTTTGTCTGTAGCAAAATGATTTTATTCATTATTCAGGATACTGCTTATACAGTGGGGCAAAAAGTATTTAGTCAGCCACCAATTGTGCAAGTTCTCCCACTTAAAAAGATGAGAGAGGCCTGTAATTGTCATCATAGGTAGACCTCAACTATGAGAGACAAAATGAGAAAACAAATCCAGACAATCACATTGTCTGATTTGGAAAGAATTTATTTGCAAATTATGGTGGAAAATAAGTATTTGGTCAATATCAAAAGTTCATCTCAATACTTTGTTATACAGTACATTCGAAATAGATTGTGACATTTCTCTGTGTCATATGTGTGTGGGGGGGGTATATGCATAATGGTATTTTTTGAGAGCTGAATGCAATGAAATTTCATTTTAATATATGCTGATTAGTGTACATTTAAAGTGACCATAACGTTTTTATTCTATTCTATTCTATTACTATTTGTATGGTTTTCTTTAGCTTCCTCTTCAACTGGCAAAGCTACTCTTACTTTTTTTAGCTTATCCTTCATATATTACTGAGCAGGTTGTCTCCTCTTTCAGATTCAACATGATATAAATTAGGACACCTGAGAAATTTGGATACACCTGATCCCAAGTAGTGGTAGGCAAATTGCTTATTCTTTCCCTGATCAACTTTAAAAAGGAAATGTGATCTCATTGGCCTCCTTATGAAACCTCCTCTTTCCCTGCAAACCAGTTGCTTTTCACAGAGTAATTGTCAATGAGAAATTAGCACAGATGAACATTCATTCATTCATTCATTCATTCATTTTACTTAGATGGCTATCTTCTGCACTGATCCAGCACTCTTAGTAGGATGCTATCCAGCTATTTAGTGCTAGTGCATGAAATATGGAGCAGTCTACACAGTTACAAATACAAATGGTTGTGTGCCCAGGATCACTGTAATATTATTCTTTATCAACAGGAAGACCAAGTAATCTCAGCTTCAAACTTTCGTGTAGTTTTTAGGACCCCAGAATTTATAGTAAAATCACTTGAATGGAGAAGCGTTTAGACAGAAATAATATAATAGAGTTTTACTGTGCAAAGACCTTCCCTAAATCTCACCATAGTAAGTTAAGGTAAATATGCCAATTCATTCTTTATTCAGGAGTAAATAGAAGCTAATCATTGCAGGAAATGTTAATAAAACCACATCAAGGTAACTTTATCATAAAGATTTTAATTTAACAAATTTTGTTAAGTTGGTAAAGAGACTTTTTGTTGTTGTTCTTTTGGTTCTATAGGCATTAGGATTCTTGTCATCATATGGAATAGGAGTGGAACATAATCAGGCAAAGGTAAAAGGAAACGCTCTGGCCTGTTAAATCTGGTCTAAAATGGCATTCAAAATATATTTCTAGCATGATTTTTTTTTCCTTAGGCACTCGTATATTACACATTTGCTAGTATTGGAGGAAATCTTGTATCTCGGATGATCATGGTTTGTAAAACATATGTTTCAATTATTTCAAGTTCTAAATTCCTAAATAATAAGGAAAATAATTTTGATTTTTCTTTTCTTTTTTTAGGGTTATCGTTACTGGTTAGGAATCAATGTCCCAAAGAATTGTGAAGCAGCATTAACTAACTATAAGAAAGTTGCAAAGTTTGGTGAGTGCTCTTGGTATGTTGAATGTACAGTTGATTTAAAATGTATAGTAGTTTAAGACCTTTTTTTAGAAAAAATGGGGGGGGGAATCCCTCACTTTACACAATATAAAAGGGGAAAATTCTCAAAAAAAACATTAGGATCCATTTATTTGGAATACAAAGTGGTGTGTAAAGGCAGTCATAAGTACACAAAGAAAAATGGAAAAATTCTTACTTCTGAAATGTCCTTGAGCAGAGCAGTTAAAAAAAACTTTTGCAAAAACTAAAAAGATTCTACTAAGGGCACAACGGTAATCTACATAAACTTCAGTCCTTAAAACCTGTAAATAGAATTTAGGGATCCTGGTACACAGTCCGTTGGTTCTCTGAGTGTGCAGAGGGCAGAAACCTTCCTCCACATTATAGCAAGAATATCTTGTGTTTTCAGATATATGAACCCCACTACCTATGACTTTGCTTTTTTGGTAGGAGTCTAGGAACATGAAGCTTGCCTTCAAAACAAAGGCTACAATTTGAGGTTCTACATCTGGACACACCCAACATTACAGTCCTGAGGTGCTCATTATAATGATGGATCCCTCTGTTCTGCGAAACAGCCTATCTGACAGTTAATGAGAAATGTGTGGGCATTTGTTGAAAGCAGTGCATTAACTGAGAAGTAATAATCAAATCAAAACTGTATTAACCAGTGTATTGTTGATGTGGCCGTTCCCCTCCTGCTTGCTGAAATGGGTAGAAACTCAACTGAGCCACAAAATTGTCCCAAACGATCTCCTGCTCAAGGTTAGAAGTGAAAAAAAGAAATTTGGTTTCTACCAAGGTAGCCAGATCACTGTTTACTCTCTGCATGGAGAAACTAAGGTAACAGGCCAAGCAACAGGGAATAAAGGAAAAGAGATGTGATTTGAATCCTGCCATTTTATATACAGCTTTTTCTACTGAGACATGAATGTCAATCTATATAAGCATTTCCATAACAGAAAACATAAAAAGTACTAAAGAAATTGTATTATATCAGTTCTTGTGCAAACTATGTGACAAGCAATGTAAAATAATGTTAATAGATAAAATAGATAAAATAAATATATATATTTTTAAATCCACTCTGGATAATTTTTGATTTAACTCCATTTTACTTGCATGTTTTTGATGGGCAAATGTTTAGGATCACAGTACCCATTTTCCAGTCATACACCTTCCATTTTCTTTAAAAATATATTTTTAGTATTTTAAATATAATATTATATTTTGCACACTCTTTTAATAATCTGCAATAAATTTAAATAAATAAATAAATAAAGGAAGAAAAGACAACAAGATAACAGCAGAAACATACATAGCATTCAGTTTATTAATAGAAATCCTAATTTATATAATCTTTCCAGATTTGACTAAAATGTGATTCATCCCCTTCCATAGTCAGTATTCAAGTTTTATCAGTCACTTTTTCCATAAAAGCAATTTTTTTGCAGGCTAATTATCCAATGATAGATTATTCAGATATTCTCAATTTTGCAACTGGAATAAGAATATAATTTCTTTCTTTCTTTCTTTCTTTCTTTCTTTCTTTCTTTCTTTCTTTCTTTCTTTTCTATTCTTTTCTTTTCTTTCTTCTTTCTTCCCTACCCATCTCACTATCAGGCAACTGGACATTTTTGTTTACTTTAAATCATCACTCTCAAAAATATGTAACTGTGGCACATACTCTACTTTTTGTTTAGTTATAATTCTTTGAATATTGTCTTCCAATATGGCATCCCCTTTCAACTTCCATCACATATTTCTTTTCTGATTGCAACCCATCCAACATTTTGATGAATAACTACAGGCTATTTGTGCTAATCTACTTGGAATTAAATGTGTGATATAACATCTTCCACTGCATCTATTGTATTGAAGCTGATAATAAAGCATCTGATTTCCAAAGTGTTGTCTATTTTGTCTCTTCCATTTGTTTTACTAAATCTGTAACAGTTGTTCATTTTCTCTGTCACCTGAAGGATAATTTTATAATGTTTAAATCTTATAAACTATAGTAGCTGTTTTGATAATGTAAGTTATTATTATTGTTATCAATAGTAGCTAATGAATTAGAAAAAAATGAAGACATACCAGTTGAAAGAGTGAGACTGATGGAAAGATCAGAAAAGCTGACTATTAATGAAGAATTCTTAGACTGGGATTTATATCAATACTTTAAGTTTTTGGCTGAAAGAGGAAACACACAAATACAGGTAAGAGAATTTTCCTAAATTTCTTCCTCCTGGCTTGCTTCACATAAGATCTTAACTTGGTTTTGGCATTAACACACTTTCTGAATTCACAACCAATCTAATGGGCTGGGTTTGCACAATACAGACAGACAGACAGACAGACAGACAGACAGACAGATACAACAACAACAATAATAATAATAATAACTGCTTCCATCTTGCAACGATATCTGTAATACCATCAAACATCCACATCTGCCTATCCCAGATCCTTGGTAAGGACTCAATAGGTAGACAAAATGCCAAATCCAGTCTGAACATCTGGCTGACTGTGCGATGATCCATAATAATAAACAAAAAATACATACAAACCCAGAATTAAGAAGACAGCAATAATAAGTGCTGCCTATGCAAAGAAGCTGAAGAAACAGTGACCACCTGGTTAACTGCTGCTAGAAGATGGCACAGACTGATCACATGTTGCAGGTCAATGGTGAGAGAGCTGGGAGACGTTAATATCAAGAGAGGAATATTTCGAGATTCACTATCACTGCTACTATTTGTCATTCCACTCCTCTTTCAACACTACTAAATAAATCAGGCCATGGCTATCAAACATCAAAAACATCTGCCAGACTATCCCTCCTTTATATGGATGATCTGAAGCAGTATGGAAAAACACCATCTGAAATAGAATTGCTGCTCAACACTGTCCTTATGTCAACTGTCTGATTGACAAACTCAAAATCAAGGAGTCTTCAAGGCTTTGAAATGCCATAAAAGATAAATCTTTATTGAGTACACATCTCAAAACTGAAGAAGCAAAACCAGCTCTGATTTTCCCATGCGAAAATCTGCCTAGTTAACAACAGCACTACCAATAACATTTTGCAAGGCTTTAACCAATTCTGCTGATATTTCATCAATCTCTGCAGCTTTATGATTAAAAGTGTTTTCTACAGCACATTTAACTTTCCAAGTTTGGGGGAGCATACTTTCATACATAGTAGTGCTTTTGGCTTCTTTTTTGTGATAATTCTTTTTGGTTTCTTCACTTTTCCATGAGTTTTTTTTTTCTTTAGGGCTTGTGTCTGGACATTATCTTTAACACTCATATGCTAGTTATGATGGCCACTCCATTTATTCAGAATTATATCAATTTGTTCCATTTATTCAGAATTATATCAAAATATCAATTTGGCTGTCTTGGCAGTAAACTGGAGTGAATTGATATTTGCTTCTCAGGGGAGAATATTTAACCTGATACTTTGTCTGTGACCTGCCCATTATAGGTATTTTTTTTCCCAGAGTAAGCCTTTCTACTTATGTACTTCATAATGTCATTGGACTTTGTAAAGCCCTTCAAATTTTACAAGGTAATGATCCATGAAGAGATTACTTAGTATACTTGCAGGATATAATTGCTATGGAGATACCATATTTCCATACAGTTCTCCAAGATCTTATTCTTTTGCCATTTGATGTAGTTCATTCACTTTACATGCCAACAATTCATTTTTCCCAGATGTATCTTGGAGAGCTGCATTTTAAGGGAAGAAAAGGACTAGAAAAAGACCATGCTGTATGTATATTCAGATTTCCATTAACATTCATTAATATGCACAATTCTCAATTTTCAATATGTTTAAAAAAGATGCTTTTTTAATCCCAGTATCCTAATGATACATTAAAACTCCAAGAACTCCCATCTAAAGGCTATCCTGGTTACCCATTTTTAATGGATAGTAGTTAAAATGCAGCAAACATGTATACAGGTTCTTTTAAATTCTTGTATGTTCCAAATGCAGTTGAAAGGTTGATGCTAATTTTTTTTCAAATGAAGTACAATAGTAATGAGAAATGATGGCTATGTGGGAATTTCATCAACATTATCTGAGCAGAATAAAGCTTAGCTTCTCTTTTGGATCCCACCTCAGATTTAAATGCTAGGAAACATTGGGCTTTTATTTTCCCATCACGTTTCAAGTTGAGTTTTTCAAAAGGAAACTGGATTTCCTAAAATTGGGAGAGAAAAAAATAATAATCTCAGAACCAAATCCCAACTCTCTTAATTTCACGAACAGATCCAAGTGCATTACCAAAATCTGAAGCCACTGAATTACAGTATTGTCAGTTTTAGAATCAGTGTGGGATTATTCTGATCTTGCAGTACTTTTTGATAAATAATTAAAAAACACTGCCAGAGAAGATACATTGTTTTCAAGAACTTTTTTTATTTTTCTTTTACTTTCTCATTCCCCCTTTTTTATCTTTCCCTTTGTATATGAAATAATAATTTTAAAAACCCTAAAAACCCAAATTAGAAATTACATTGTTATAGAAATGCTAACTTTTCCTTGCTATTTTTCATCAGAAAGCTTTCTACTACTTCCTAAAAGCAGCAAATGCAGGGAATGCAGCTGGGATGGCATTCATTGGAAAGGTACATATTTTGTTTCCTGAGATCACTTTGGGCTCATATTATTTTCTATTCCTTCCTGTAAATAAAACTAGGTCAGCTACAAAATACAGAGGAAAAAAAAAAGGAACAGCGCATAACAGTTTCTTGGGGAATTTTTGCTAAGGTATTATATATCCATCAGCTAAACTGTGTCCTTTTAATATATGCAGATGTATTTATATGGAAGTACTGTGACTCAGAATAATGTTACTGCTTTGAAGTTCTTCACCAAGGCAGCAGAAAAGTAATGTACTAATTTTAAAATATTTTTTGCTTGGACTTTGCATGGATTTCAAGGAACTTGTAGAAATGTTTATTTAATTTAGCTAGCGAGTCTTGCATAGTAAGAAAGAAAAATATGGAATTGTATGTAAGTGTAGCACTTCTATACTGATACAGTGAGCACACAGTTGAACATATAATACCATACCAATAATCATATAGGACATACATAATACATATGGATAAAAATAATACTGAGATTAAATCTGATGCTTTTGGACCAGAAATGGATCGATATTCATCAAGGCAAATATTGTGGAAGTAGAAATATGAACCATCACTTAGTACTTGTCAGTTTTATTGATGAAGATTACTGATACATCTAAGTGGAACTATCTCTCATATTCTTTAGAGTAATTCTGTTGGACTCTGGGGGCTTGGTATCCTTTATTTAAAAGGGAGAGGTGTCCCACTGGTAAGTCTTAATTTCATTAGGCCTTTTTCATATCCTACATATTAATGAGTAAAATCATGGGGAAAAAAGTTCAATCTAATGTAGGGTAATATCCCAAAAGAGTTCAAAAACTGTCAGCAAGCGCAGACTTCGAATGTAGGATTGAATCCTGTTTTCTAATAATTTAGCATTAAATAATTTTTGAGGCCCTGATGAAGCAATAAAAAACTAGAGAAGAATTACAACTCTGCTTTGAATCATCAAAATTTATTTACTTTTCAGAATTACACTGAAGCTTTTCGGTACTTTCAAAAAGCAGCTGAGAAAGGATATAACAATGCCCAATTTCAGCTAGGAGTCATGTATTACAGTAAGTCCTAAATCCATCCATTCATTCATCCATCTTCCTTCCTTCCTTCCTCCCTCCCTCCCTCCCTCTTTCCTACTGAAAATCCCAAAGTCCCAAATTAAATTTTGTTTCAGATGGTTTAGGAGTGAGAAGAGATTTTAAACTTGCTTACAAATATTTTTACTTGGCATTTGAAAATGACCATCTCCTTGCAATATACTATTTGGCTCAGATGTATGCTGAAGGAACTGGAGTGTTTAAATCATGTCAAAATGCAGTGGAAGTAAGTAGCTGCAACCATCTGCTTAAGATAATCACAATATCCTTACAAGTAATTGAATCAACAGCTGCTGTCATATTATCCTCTTACTGTCCTGTATCAGTTGGTACTGGAGGGAGGGGGGAGGGATCTCACTTACATACGATTATTTGAATAAACACCATCAACAAAATGAGATTATTGTAACAGGATCCAAATAGCTGGAAGATACTTGTGGATGTAGGGAGAATCCTTCCTTCCAAATTTAATCCTGAAATGTTCTGTCTTGAATTGTTCTATGGTATCTAATGCACTGTTCAGGAACAGGAACACCAAAGACTATAGAAATCAGGGTAAAGATATTTACATTGTGCATCTGCATTTGAAAATAAGTCCCATTAGGTGACTTCCAACTTGCACAGATCTCCTTTATAGGCGTACTATAGGAAGGGACATCTATTTTTAAGCTGCTTCCTTTATCACCTCCACAATTCTCATTTGAGGGTGGGAAGACTCTGCTACTGGACTGAAATATTATTTGAGAGAATATCTATTGGCAGTACTTGTAGTTTTTCTTTTGAAGAGTAACGTTCAGTTCATGCAGTGACATATTTTTTTTCCTCTCCTGAGAACAGATAATGGTTGGTCACTCACTACCTGGAAGATGACTCTTCCTTTTTAAAGCCACTATGGTGTAATTCTGCTTAAGTTGTATAGTCATCTTAAGTTGTATAGTCATGTTTTTTTTTGGGGGGGGGGGCTTAGTTGTATTGAACTTCCATTGATCTGTGTTAGTCATAATTTATTCAATGTTATATCACATAATATTGTTAGTATTTTTTAAAAGTAGCTAATATAAAACTAACTATAGAAATAGCACTTAGACTTATATACCACTTCACAGTGCTTTACAGCCTTTTCTAAGTGGTTTACAGAGTCAGCATATTGCCCCCAACAGTCTGGGTCCTCACTTTATTGAATTCGGAAGGATGGAAGGCTGAGTCAATCTTGAACCGTTCATAATCAAACTCCTGGAGTGAGCAGTAAGTTAGCCTGCAGTATTGCATTCTAACCACTGCACCACCATGGCTCGGTATCAAAAGCAAGCCTTTTTTAACTTTAGTTTTTCAGTGCTGTGTAGTGATGAGAGTAGTAGTAATTGTACGTTTGAATGAATTTGGGAGATAGGAAGAACTGATCTGATGACCTGATAAACAAAATCTGAATCTGGGGATGGAGAAAGCATCTCAGAAGAGACCCTTCCCTAGTTTTTGAAAGACTAAACGTGAGGGAGAGAGGAGGGGTGCTTTCAGACATGCAACATTACCTTACAATAAAGGTAATGTTAATATCCTATATTCATGGTTGGTGTTTCTTGTCTGAACTACCTTGAAGGACTGACACAGAGACACCTTCACTCAAATCTACACTTCCAGTGTATCACTTCCAACAGATCATCATTCTTTTTTTTTCATTATAACTATTTGTAAAGTGGGGTGTATACCTTTTATTCGATCTCAAGAAAGGTAGTACATAAACATGAAATTTGTTAATCAAAACAGGAGATACGAAATTTGCTGGTTTTTAATAGATTTCTTTGTGCTCCTCAGCTTTATAAAACTGTATGTGAGCTAGGAGAATGGTCAGAAATGTTTCGGACAGCATACTTTGCTTACCAGTCTGGTAATGTAGATTCATCTCTTGTTCAATATGCCTATCTAGCTGAAATGGGCTATGAAGAAGCTCAGGTTAATTCAGCTTACATCATGGAATCTGGTAAGGGAAAATCCTATTAAGCTCATTCTTGCATTCTGCAATAGATGGACTGCCTTAAGATGTGTGATGCCACAATTTTGTTACAGAAAAAGTTAAACTTCTACATAAAAATCAAGTGTACCCATTGGCTCTTCTCTTATGGAAGCAAGCTGCAAGTCAAGGTATGAACAGAGTTAAAAGCAATCTTCTTTTATTAACATAATTTCCTCTCTTTGTGCTTTTACAGCTAAGTAGCAAGAAACGATTACAGAATACAGAATAACAGAGTTGGACTAGAAGACTTGGAGGTCTTCTAGTCCAACCCCCTGCTCAGGCAGGAAACAACAGTTGTTGTTTTTGTTTTATACCTTTTCAGACAAATGGTTGTCCAATCTCTTCTTTAAAACCTCCAGTGAGCATTCACAATTTCTGGAGGCAGATTGTTCCACTGATCAATTGTTCTGTCAGGAAATTTCTCCATAGTTCTAGGTTGCTTCTCTCCCTGATTAGTTTCCACCCATTGCTTCTTGTCCTGCCTTCAGATGCTTTGGAGAATAGCTTGACTCCCTCTTCTTGTGGCAGCCCCTGAGATATTGGAATACTACTATCATGCCCCTGAGATATTGGAATACTCTCCCTCACGTTTAGTCTTTCATCAAACTAGATATATCCAATTCCAGCAACCGTTCTTTATATGCTTTAGCCTCCAGTTCCCTATTCGTTTTTTGTACTCTTATGTTGTTATGTTATTATGTAAAGCCATCCCAAAGAAACATGTAGTATGTTTCTTGGGTATAGAGTATGCAGACCACACTAAAATATTAAGATGGCATTTTCTTAGACACTCATTTTATATTAAATGTTATGTTTGTCTGTTTCTATTTTGAGTCTGCCCAACTCTGTAGTGAGTCTAGGCTGCTTATAGATAACAATTAAATGAAAACAAAATCCAGCAAGAAGAAAAAGAAGACAGTATTAAAAACCAACAATATACTATTTGGGGTTTGTTCTTTGCTTCTTTTTGTTTGTTTTTGTTTGGCCTATTTTCATGTTTATACCATTTTAACCAACGGTTGAAATCAGTTCAGGGGGAAAAAAACACAGTACCAGTCAATTTTCACTTAATGACTTTCTTATTGCTTCCCATTTTGTTTTTAGTATGGAGAAGATAGCCTTAACAGCTTTAAACTGCTTTATTTTATTGTTATTTTATGCAAGTCATTTCATTCTATCAGAAAAAAAGAATGTTTTGTTTGTTAAATAAAGTTATTTGTTCAGTTCCTTGATCTGCCTCTTTGTGAGTGTTCAGAGCACAGAAATAAACTCACGGGAGAGTGAAGACTTAGCTATGTACCTTTAATTCCTGCTCAAGTACAAGCAACTACAGTATGTCTCTTCCTTTTCTGTGCCCTGATGGTGACTAGTTTTTGTAGAAGTTAAGCAGACAAGTGCTATCAACCTGCCAAACTCTCTTAGACTTAATTTATAGCCTGTTTGGAAGAAGGAGATGGTAAACCACTTCCACATTATTGCCAAGAGATTTCATGGTTCTTTCCATGTAATCAAGAGATGTCCAGCTCAAAGTAAGGAACTCATTACATTTCTATTACAGAGTTCATTTCCCCCCCCCCAATGGGTTAGAACATTTTACCAATGTTCTCTGGCTAATAGGTTTTATATTAATAATATTGCTTTAGAGTTTGATCATAAAATAGAGTAATGCTGGATGATAACAACTGAATAATTTCTCTTTATAAAATAGATAAAATCTCCTGTTCACTCAATGTAGATTCTGTGAATTGCAAATGGTAAAATATGGTCTCCTTTACATAAATGAGTTGAATTCTATCTAGTTACTGATCAAAACTATCGTATAGATTAAAAGAGTTGTACTTTATGAAATAGATTATTTTTCATGTAATGGGCAAATTCTGTTGAAAGTTTACAACATAAATATAATTTAATTACTCTGCCATCAGCTGCTTTGAAAGTTTTATTATGGAATGCCTAACATTTTCAGAAATCAAATAAGATGTTTGAGGACTTTACGGATTTAAATGGAATTGAATTTTATACAAGGAGAGACAGTAAGTCAATTCTACTCCCTATCAAAAAGTCCATCTTGATAAGAAACCATTAAGATTATAAAATCAGCAGGCAACCTTAAACTGGTTCTCACCTTCTGATTCTGAGGCCTCTTTGTTGGCACATTGCAGAGAACTTCTTCCCTAAGTTGCTTCCAAACCATGAAATACACTGATAGCCAGGAAATAGACTCAGTCCCTTTTTTTGTTTCTTTACACAAGCTCTTAGGGATCATTATGAAGATATTCACTGTTTTATATTTTAAGTGTTTGTTGTATGTCTTTAGCTGTCTTCAAACCTCCTGTAGATAGAAAGGTAGAATATAAATACTTTAAAATACCCATGTAGGATATATGTTTGTACTTTCCCAAGATTCTTCAAAAGATAGTGGAAAATTATGATTCTGAAAAGCTTATTGTCATCATTTCAAGACTATAGACAATGTGTAGGATACACAATAAAATCATCATCACCATCACCACCACCACCACCATCAGCTTTATCCCTTCCATGTATTTGTTTTACAGGTAATGAATTTGCCAGAGTTAAAATTGGAGATTATTACTTCTATGGCTTTGGAACAACAAAAGATTATGCTTTAGCAGTAACTTATTATACTTTTGCTGCAAATCAACTCAACGCTGAAGCCATGTTCAATCTGGCATACATGCATGAACATAGTTTAGGTGTTTCCCAGGTAAAGTAATATAGCTCTGAGGTTGTTTCAAACACTAATGTTAATATTTATTGTAAACATTCTAGTTAATTAATACAAAACAAAACAATTTCTAATGCAATAGGATGAGCTTTAATCAGTTGAAAACCAAATGGCTATTTTTCTAAGTTAAATGTTAATGTAAATGTTGTTGACTAAAGAATGTGTAAAGCATTAAGAAATAAGTGGACCATGTCATCTGCTAGTTCAGTTATAAAATACAAATTAGTAGATTGTAGAGTACAAATTAGTTTTCTTTTGTCATGGAGAACTGAAAATTCAGAAAAACCCTTCCCCCACTAATGTATTGAACTCTGATCTCCATCATTTTCACCCAGCACTTTTTGGGCATGTTAGCTGGGAATTATGGAAACTATAGACTAATATATCCAATATTTTGGAAGAGCGCTAGTTGAGAAAAGGCTTAAGACCAGCCCACAACATTTTACAGCCTACTCTGCAAGTGAATAGGCATCATATCCAGACTGGACAAGTTATTTTAGCCCATTCCTGGCACTACAGTGACTTACAATCCAAGGCTTTTTCATGATGCCTAAAATGTGTTGCCTGAGTATAGTGTTTCATTCTGTGCAGAAGCCTTTTTTTCCCCTCCCAGACAGGAATCTTTATGTTGTGTCCTGAGATTGTAAAGAATGGACATTAGCAATGGGAAAGCCATCACACACATGAGAATATCAATTGTAGGGCTTTGGCTCTTGATTTCTTTATCTAAGCCATGTCTAGAAAATAACAATAGAATCCAAGTAATTAATGATTCATAACTAGAACCTTCTGCTGTCTAATATTTTTCAACATGAAACATCTTAAGATCTTTGGTTCATATCCAATACTGTCTCTTCAGGACATTCAAGCAAAATGACTCTAAAAAAGTTCTACACTTATGTTCTTTCTAGAAAATACATGCATATGTCTATATAGAGGTAAACCTGACTAAGATTAGTTGCAGTTTCCAGTAGCTGTATTTTACCAAAGCAAATAGCTATTTTTAGAAATTATTTTTTTATGTTTAGGATATACATTTAGCTAGAAGATGGTATGACTTGGCAGCTGAAACCACCCCAGATGCTGTCATGCCAGTGTTCCTAGCATATGTAAAACTCGAGACTATGCACGTACTTACATATCTGCCACTTCTCAATGTAAGTCTGATTTATATAAACTCAGTCTGTTCTAATAATGTTAGCTGTATGACCGTCAGATAAAAACTCCAGAGAAATATTGGATTTAGCTGTTTGTTTTTTTTGTATATTTTGATGTCATTTAGTGACTGTCCAGATCATTGAAGTCCAGATCTAATAGCCTTAGCTGTTCCAGAATACTTTCTTTATGAAACAGCTGTTGCTTTACATTTATAATACGTGTGGTTTTTAAAGCTAGGTTGCTATTAAACAAGTGATGCTGGTTATTTTAAATGTTAAATGTCAAAACTGAGATATACTGCAAATAATATTGCCACCGCAGATAACAAAACTGCAGATAATCTCAAAAAGGTATTTGGTATATATGCAAACATCCACCAGCTGTGTTGAACATGTGTAAAAACCAAACTGAAACCTACAAATAGGCGAAAACCTTTCCTATGTATACTAGGACAGCAAAAGCTCAAGAAAACTGCATTCCAAATCTGTATGGCTGTGGCTGTATGATTACTGTATTACCACCTACTCATACTAGCAGAATTTCATTGTTTACTAATAAAAAAAATCACTGAACCACATTCAGGAAATATGTATACTAGTTTTTAATATCAATATGGCCTCTCTTGCTAGTACATTAGATTACTCACAATATAAAGACTTGATAGACTGTTAGACATTATTGTTTAATGTTAAGCCAATGTGTCAGATTGTTGTCAAAACAACAAGCAAAGATGCCTTTACTGTTTCTGTTAGATGCCCAATAAAAGAAAGGCAAGCAAGGAAGTTGGCATTTATATTAGATTAAACTGAAAGGGATCACATGAAGGATCAAGCAAGGCTTTAACAATTCATTAACACCTTTAATAAATAAATAAATTTAGGGTGTTAAAGGAAAACAAAGAAATGAAGATTGTTCCGGGCATAAGCAATAACTTCAAGAAAGATGGTTGGTACATGAAAGCACAGAGGATGATGTCAATGTCAGTGGCAAATTACACAGAATATAAAAATGATTACAGGGGGAGAGAATATTGTCAAATTCATATTGCAAAAATTGACTTTAACACATTTCCTATCTGTATTTCATGCGTAGATTTGTTTGTAGACCATGATTTATCTAGTGCATTGTGCAACATTCGTAAGCATGGTTTAACAAACCATGATTTTGTATTATGCTAAGTCAGTAACAGAAATATATTTGTGGAGTCATTGGAGTGGTCCATACATCAATCTGTTATGTATATTGATCTTTCCCTCCTGGAAATGGGTGGGTGGGGAGGTCTTGCAGAAGAGGTCCTTTCCTACTGCCCAAGATGTGACAGTTCCTTTGCAGCACAGAAAGGAACAGCCACTAACTGTTGGTGATGGTGCATACAAAGTAAAAGGGTGATGCACTTCAAAAGTGCTCGAATATAGTCGAAATGAGAATGCTCAGGGGATGGGCAGAGTCAGTATGAAAAATTCCATTATTATTATTCCATTATTATGCTATATACATAATAATGGAAGAGAGCAGGCACTTGAAAGAAAAAACAAGGGAAAACTCTACAAATAAAAAGTTGCCGCAGTCTAATAAAAATATGAAATTGCAGACAGGTTTTTAGTGAAAGCAACAAAAAATGAGTATACTTTGCAGATAGTTTTGAGGCAAATTAAGAATAAATTCTAGAACATCTAAATCAGTGCAGCCAAGGGCAATACGGAGGTATTAAAATGCTTCTGGAAAGATATTACTTTGTAATCCTCGCATGATTTACACAAAAGGAAGACTTACTGAGGCCAGCAGGAATATATATTCTCAGCAAAATATTGCATTTAACCAGTTAACCAGTCAGAAATATATCTTGATAGGTTTCCACAGCACCAGTAAAGTTCTTGTAGCCAAAGGGGGAAGGGGACAGATTTTAGTACAAAAGATATCCATGAAGCACTTTTTGTACACATATATAAAAGGTTTTTCTTTCCTTCTCTTCAACAGCTTACTGCAGTCTGGAAACTGACAGCATTTGATAGTTTGTTAAAAGTACGTTGGGATCTGTTTATGATTATATTCCTGTTTGCATTAGTGATATTTTTAATGACCAATCAGCCAAACTGAATAGTATTAGTTCATATTTTTGATTATCTAAGCTGATTTTAAATTTTAATTATCTAAAGCCTTTGCTTAATAAAGAAATTAAAGCATACTGAAAGACTTTAATGGTGTCAGTCTCCTCTTTCTATCCTGCTGTACAAACTGAAGTATATTCAGAACTTTTGTTTGAAAGCCACATGATTCAAACACAAGGTGAGGCTTTTCCTTCTTTAGGTATTTGGCACAAATACATCTTCATAAAATTTTATCAAGATATTTACCTGCGACTTCCGGTTCCTGATCGCAGCACTTGCAGCTGTGCAAGGAGACTGCTCTCTTCGCCAGCTGATTCTCCGCTGCCGGTAGACCCTTAATAGGGTTGAAAAGCCACCCTACAGGGGCGGCTACTGTTGAGGAGGTCCTCATCGTCCGTGGGAGAGCGGCAGCTTCTTCCATGGCCCGAGATTGCTCCCTTGAGCCAACGGTGGAAAGACCGGCCAGTAAAATGGCCGTTCACTTTGCCGCTGTAACCAGAAGTCAGAAGAACATCTAAGCGCAGGAACCACTGTGGCTGAGCTGGGTGAGATTTTTTTTCCCCCTCTCTTGGTTCTCCTTTCTCTTTCGTGCCTGTAAAAAGCACTTTTGAAATTATTTCCCTGCTCTAAGAAAGCGGCGTTTGTGAGTGTGGGAAAAGAAGCTTAAATGGACTGAATTAATTTAAAGTGACTTTTTTCTATTTTTTTTATTCACTTTGGGGTCTTGGAAATTTTTTTTAATATTAAATCTACTACTGGACTTAGTCTACATCTGAAGAATTCTCCTTTTTTGTGTGTTTTCTGATCTTGTTAACGTTATTCCTGGTGTCTGGGAGGAGATTTTATATTTTACTGAGGACACCTTGTGGAAAAAGCCAAAATTGCAACTGTTTCTTTTTCCGATGGTGAGACTGACTTTGACCTTCAGATTACCATAAAAGGGAAAGGACAAAGAAACTTAACAGCTGCATTTGTGAGGGTGGATACTGATTAAATGTTCATTGAACACAGCCTCTACTAAAAGATACAACTGTTTCTAATTATTTTTGAAATGGAGAAACCCTATGTTCAACTTGACTATAAACTTATACTGGAAAAACTTTATGAAGCTACTGATCAAATATGTTTGCAAATAAAAGAGTGTACGACAGCAATAAAAAACAGAAATTCTGTTTTGAATCTACAAATTGACCCCCAGACTCTATCTGAACATTCTATAGACCAAAAAACAACAGAAGCAGAACCAACTAAGATTAAAGAAGATTCCACTTTACTTCATACGCATTCTGATGTGATCTCTGAGGAACCAAAAAGAACTGTAATTAAACCACTTACAATTCCAAAATGAACAGAAATGGATAGACAAGCTCAACTAACCGAGAACCATGGTAGCTTGGATAAGCAACTATTAACTACAAAGTCGAACATAACTGAGTCTGTTATTCAACAGTTTCAAATGTGGAGGCTTGACTTTTTAAAACAACAAGGGATTATTTATAAAGGAGCTAGATATCTAAAACAGAAAAGGGGGTGCTTTTGTTTGACCCAAAGGATACTACAAGGCACAAAAAGTGACTTGTTTATTGATATAGAGGCGTTGTTATGGAAACCTATCTGGCATAAAAAGAAAGCTAGAATAAGATTTAAGACTGTGACTCAAGGTTCTATATAATGGGCTTAAAAGGCTTATTGATATGGATTGATTTATGGTTTAAGACAGTTAAATAAGATGTTAGATTGAATAAAAATTAATTAAAGATTTGAATTTAATAAGAAGATGTTTGTCTATGTATTAACATGTTTGTTGTGGATATAGCAATTTTGGAAGGGGGTTAAAGGAGTTTGACACAGATATTGAGGGATTGATAGATTATAAAGTATAATAGAATAGAAAGGTATTTTTTTCTTTTTTGTCTTGTTTTTGATTTTTGTTTTCTTTCTCTTTTCTTTTTTGAATTAATATTTTTGCTATTAGAAATGATAGTTATTTTGTAATGGAAGAAGAATAAGAAAAAAGAAGAAATGATATTAATAAACGATTATTGATTATGTCAAGGAAAAAGGGAATGGAGAGATACCTGAAGTGTTAATTATGTATTTATATTAGCAATATGGAATATAGCAATTGAAATAGTAAAGCTTAACACAGGATTTGGACTCATTTAGATGAAATGTTATTGATTATTGTTTTGAGTGACTTAGTTGTATTGAAATACATTAACTTGAATATAATATATTACTAGAGGGAATAGAGAGGGGGTTTCTAATAGTTTAATCTGAACTATATGTGTATGACTTTATTTTTGGACAATTGATTACCCTGCCACCACGTTGATTCTTAAGCACTTGTTTGTAAAATGAAAAAACTAATAAAACTTGTTTTTTTTTTTTAAAAAAAAGATATTTATGCAATATCTTCTTATATGAGTGTTTAACTTATGTCTTCCAATTTCTTTGGCAGAAATATCTTTCAAATACTGAAATTAAATGACTTGTCTTTTGAAAGTACCTCTTTAAGTTTATTTTAGTCTATAAAGTTAAAAATACTCTGGTCCTGAAATTCAACGGTAAGATTTAATCCACTAAGTAGGAAAGAAAATATTCTTGCTGAATTCCTGGAGCGTTGCTGCTAATCCAAAACTGGGTCAAGTAAACCAGATGATATGAACCGTTGACAGGATTCATCATCATGCTGAGTCAGCACTAAACAGATCTCATCCTCCTGACTATACCACATTATCCCAGTCATCAGGTACAGATTCTATCTTCCTAGATTTTCTTCCATGGGCTCAGTTCCACACATTTTAGGTTAAAACAAGATCATCTAGTTTGCAGTTCAGTACATTGTGCAATCCCTGGCAATTGGGTTAATTAAACAAAATATAAAACGTAGATGAACAACTTGTCTAGTAGCTGGAAAAAAAAATCCATTTGAAATTATGTAGAGACAGTTTTGTAGTGTCAAAGAAGAAATCTACCATTTCTGAAAAGTTGCAAAAGTGAACAGCTTATGCCTCAGAGTACCAAGAGAGATAAACTGACTTCTTTCTTTTTGTTTTTTCAACAAGTAGCCTGAACATTTTGTATCAATGACTGAAATCCTTAGGCAAGACCAAAAACTATTCAAGTTTAATCTGATATTGATAATCTACTAGATGGTGGAAAACAAAGGTCAACTCAGATGAAAGATGCTCCAGTCAAAAGGCAGATCTGAGAATAGGTACTAAAACTAGGATGAATTCATGAAATGGATCCGTGGAATGTATCCTCCCATTTTATCCGTTTCAGATTCTAATATTTGTTATGGATTCTACATTTATACAAATAAATGAAGCCATGTGGATAAATGTTCATGGTCCTATTTACCTGTCTTGATAGATCAACTGTCCAGATTAGTCTTTGAGATATGCCAAGAATGGTGGAGCTGTTGTCTAATTATATACATAATTATATACTGATTGTCAACCCTTACCAGGCAAGGTCAAGCAAAAAAAGCAACAGAGACTTCAGGTATGGTTTTTATTATTGTAGGATAGAATAACAGAAAATTGAAAGCTCACTTTCTCTCTACCCCATAGATACTGAACAAAATTAATGTCTTTCTTGTGCTTTTGAGTTTCTCCGGACTGAGTTGACTTTCTTCTCCCTCAGTGGTTCATTGTTCCTTTCATTCCTTCCCTTTGGTTCTGCATTATTTCACACTAATGGAATGATTTTGCTTTCATTACATCCTTAATCCAGTCAATCCCTAACTCAAATCAGATCTTATGATGAGTGGTTCTTATAGCACATAGCCACAGGCTAAGTACTCACTACAATATTCAAGGAATATAGCGATTCTACTCATTTTCTCCAGGAAGTGCCTGATATTTTATTAGACTTGGCATTAGGGAAAAAAAAGTACTGGCAATGCTTATGTGATTTCTTCCTTTCTCAAGAACTGGGCAAGTAGCAATAGTTGGCGAAAATAAAGGAAAAACAAAAAGGAAACTTGCAAGCTCCAACATACACAAATAACTCCCATTGGCTCGAGGGTGTGTGTGTGTGTGTGTGTCTATCTTGATGTCATTCTTCCTTTTAGCAGCTCCTTTCATACGCCATCTTTGCATCACCTTGACATTCAGGCTGATATCTTGAAATGGCTCATGAGGAAATAAACATGCTTATGCTGTTTACAAGGAAAACAAAACTTCTATAGGGGAGCTAAGCATTCCCACTACAATGTAATTCTCACAGCCAAAAACTAAGAGTCCATTCCCCCTAAACTCCATCATCTCCCTGACATGCAAAACGCCCAAATGCGTGTGAGGGCAATGTAATTGTTTTAGTATTATGTAAACCAGGCCACAGACATTTGGGCCAGTCTGTTTAATTAAAGGACAGAAGAAGAATCCACGTCTCCTGTGCTCAGCTGTACAAAAGGTGAATGTAAGGATACAGTATTGTATTTTAACCGATCAATCTAAGCAACTATATCCTTCTAAGGATAGTTCTTGCATTTAATTTCTTTTTGCTAATATAAGTCAAGAGTCTTCTACAGATAATTATCAGAGTGATATTTCTTTCTAGTTCAATTAGTTCATAATCCTTAGCTCTTTGATGAACACGAGGTCAAGAGACTGAAATTAAGGACAAGAGAATGTAACCATAAAAACTGCATAGTAATAGGATGGGGTAATAGGAGTACTGAAGTAGTTTTGAAAATGTAAAAAGATCAAATATTTAGGACATCTAAATGCTCAAATGGATTTTGCTTCAACCATTTACGTGTTTAGATGCTTCTTTGTCTCCTTGTTCCAAGCTCAGTAGCATAGCTGGCATTCTGCATGATTAAGTTAAATACAATTGTTAGGCTTTAATAAAATACACTAAGCCATAAAGCATAACTAGAAATTACCAGGGTTGGATTCACGCAATGTACTAAATTTCAAATAAGCAACACTAATTTGGAGTACAGATGTGCAAAACGTTTTGAATTTGAAAAGAGGTGATCCATCTGTATTCTTGGCTTGATAATCTTGATAGATCAGATCCATCACCAGAATCCTTCTAATAAGTTTAGAACAGGGAATTTGAAGCTTGAATTGTTTAGATTGTTTATACACCTATATTAGTTGAGCATTATTGTGTGAATATGGAAGCCCTAAAGAGATAGTAACCAATACTCAGGACAAGTATATGCAGTTGCATGTAACCATCTTGATGTGTGATCAGTTCATTCAGAGTTCAAAAATACTACAACTTATGTATTTTGAACAGCTGAAGAACTGCTATACTGTCCCTTCCAGCAATCTCTAAGTATTTAGCTCTACCATATATCAGTTTCCCCATATCATTATGTGCTTATATCTCCTCCACACTGGAAGAAAGGTTTTGGATTATTATAGATCTGGAAGCATGAATAAGCCTGGTTGATCACAACTTGCCATGCACCTCAGAAGTGAAATGGACCTCCTTTTAAAGGCATATTAGACAACCTGTGACCCACTGGGTCATTGTTTACTGATATTTTCTTCCCAGATTCCTCAATGCCTTTAACAATGGCAGAACTTCTAATGTACTACTTTCACTGGAAAATTCAGGGAGATAATTAAAATTGTATCTGCACTTGAAAATAGCCCATGTTGAACCATGTAACATAAACATAAGGAGTTGACCACAGAATATGTTTTATAATATTCTGTATTGCATTATGTCATACAAAAGTTTTATGAAGATTCATAAAGTGTTTTATAAAATTTGCCAAATTTCAATTCCATGGCTGTCATGTTTCAGATTTTGAACACATTCTGTAAGATAGACTGTTTGAGGTACCTTTATTCAAAAATTGTTGTCCTACAGAGCAGTTTTCCCAGTTAAAGGTTACAGACACAAGAATTTTGATAGTATATAGATCAGACATGTCAAACATAAGGCCCAGAAGCCGGATGCAGCCCGTGTAGTGGTTTCATGTGGCCTGCAAAGCCATCGTGGAAACAGTGAGGCCAGCCGGGAGTCAATGTACAATTTAGTGGTGGCCATCTTGGCACTTGCCCCAGTGGACCATGCCTTGGCACTTGCCTCAGTCCCACCCCCTTCTGCCAGAGACCCTCAGATCTATCCCACATCCTTGACGCGAATGTAGAACTGGCTACGCCCACCCAGTAGGCCACACCCACTCCATCCACGCTCGCCCAGTAGGCTGCACCCACTCTGGCCACAACCACCCGGCCCCACAATGCTGATGCGGCCCTCAGTAAAATTGAGTTTGACACCCCTGATATAGATCAATTAATTAGCTCTTCCAAATTATGCTTCCCAACTTGCGCTGGATTCTCACAACATAACAGGCTAAAATGTGACTAGAGTATTTGTGGATCACATGTTGAGTTAATTCCAGTAAACTATGGTTCAATTAACTATGCAAGCACATTTATTTTATACACAACAGGCACACATGCACATATATAGGAGGAATTAAATGTAGCAGCTCTGTAAAGTCATTGAAGTCATAGTATTATAGACAGATTATTGTAGTTTACAATTTTTTTTACTGGAAAAAATCCCCACAGTTTTAACAAGTGCAAAAGCTAGAATAAGAGATAGCAGTAGATCTTTGGATAATTTTGCTCCAAGTCAGCATAACTGACATAACTGTCTAATACAGCATAAAAAAACTCTTATTATTCTAGATAATTGAATAAAAAATTGAAAGAAAATATAGAAATGGGTTTAACCAAGAAAACATCTGGGTCTTTATTATTTTGGCTGGCATATGAATGTTACCAGGGAGACAAAGTGGGTAAATGCGTATGTGTGCATCATATAGTTATTTCACAAGTGGCCCAAGTTAACAGATATAATTTTATGCAATGGATACATTTCTCTAATGAGATGCACATAATGTCAATGTGGCTTGTAATAGTTACCTAAGGGATAACCATACAAGTAGAAGCCCATTATTTCTTTATTCTTAGAATATGCATACTGTATACCCCTACATTTCATCTCAACTCTTCATTGGTGGGCCTTGGGATCCTGGCCAAGAATCTAAGTCCTACAAGCTTGTAGCCTGGCATAGTGGAATTGCATGGCTTTCCTTTCATCAAACAACCTGTTAGATAACAGAGGGCACATTATTTCAGGGAAGGTGCAAGAATTGCATCAGCCAGAATTAGACCTTCCATGTACTACCCAGGAATCATAGGAACTATCCAAATTTCTTCTTTAGCATTCATTTTTTGATTGAATAGCTGGATCTCTCATATTTTCATATAGGCAGGTAATATATGTGTACAGAAATACACACTATCATTTCTCTGGATGTACCCAGATCAAATTGGCAATTTTACTATTACAATTTACATATAAAAATACAGCCACTGACATAGTAAACAGGAATATAGATAGTCCCCCTTTTTTTTCTAGGCACCGAAGTAGTTTTGGGGAAAATGATGTCATTTGTTTGTCAAAGTTAAATGGTAACTGCTAAATATTCCAACAAGCTATGTACAATTTATATTACTATATTTCATGTCAAAGTTTTTTTTTGCCTGAAATAAGTTCATTTATTTTTCTCAGATCTCCAAATGACACTGTTGCAGAACCTCTCTGGGCTGGTTGTGCCTGAAAAGGAGAAAGACGTTGTAATTTTAAATATTAAGAACTAAGTGTCAAAAGCAAGATTATACAATATTTGCAGAGATAAGATAATGTGGTTTTATTTAAAAAAAATCAACTAAAAACTCTAATACATACTCTCATTTAGCCACCCCACATATTACAGGGAAGGTAAATATTACCTGTGATTCATGGAATTTCCATCCTATCATGTAATAAATCTGAAATGTCGCTGGTATTGTCCCATCATTATTTCCATACAATTCTGTAAAAGGAAACATTTTGCACTATTTCAGCACAGCAACAAGAAATACAGCAGAAACCTACCTAATCTATTATAAAATAAGTGATCTGTATCTAATTCAAGGTAGCTTCAAATGTATTGGTCCAACTCCCGTGCCAGCAAATTTATCAACTATTAGGAACCATCAAGAGAGAGCATGGGGGAATGCAGGGGCTCATTGGAACCACACCAGCCCTCTTAACATAAATTCCTCTCCCTTTTCTGTTTTGTTTGAGCTGAACACTGTAGTAGGATAGTGATAACAACTCCTTACAATGGCGGTCCATGAGAAGAATCAACAAAGAATGGCAACTTTACTGACTATAGCTTTCCATTTTAAGGCCCATGGATTACATATCTGTGCTGGAATGGTACATTAAATATTTGTGAACTTTTTTGAGTTTTCAATACTTCTGCCTCAATGTGACCTAAAACCTGATTTGTTCGCCCCACAAGTCCTAAAACTGATAAATAAAACCCAATTAAACAAACGAGTCAAACACATTATATTTGCTCATTTATTTACTGAGGAAAATTATCCAAAGCTACATATTTGTAGATGGTAGAAGAATGTGAAATGTTGAGTTACACGTAGTCCTTGACTTGTGACTATTTTCTTAATGGTGCTTTAAAGTTATAACAGCCTCAGAAAAAGTGAATTACAACCTTTCCTCAAAGCTATGATTGTTACACCACCCCATAGTCATATAATTGATTGCAATTTGGGCACATGACAACTGGCTTGCATTTACAACAATTGCAGCAGCTTGCGGTTACATGTTCACAATTTGCAATCTTCTCAGCCAACTTCTGACAAACAAAATCAATTGGGGAAGTTGGATTTGCTTAATGACCATAACAACCACATCAGAATGACTGTAAAATCATATCCAGTCATGTAATGACTTGCTTAAAAACCACATGATCAAAATTATGGTCCCCCAACTGTGGTCATAATTCAGGGACTACACATATTGCTGCCCAATTACTGAAAGCAAATTTTTTCACGAACTTTTAAGCATCACAGAAAATAGAGTGGACTGAACAAGCTTGAAAATATAGAGTGACAGAAATCTAGCTTCAAGTGATAAAAATGAGTTACTTAATGAAAAGTTCATACCTTTATACACTGCTGCAGCTGCCAACATAGTTGCTCTGTGTATCATAGGTTTCCTGTTCCAACAGCAATTACTTTCTCCCATACCTAAAAACAGTTTTAAGCTTTAAAAGAAGATACAGCACACACCATCAGTTGAATATATTTCAGCAATGTGAATAGGATCAGATGACACAAATGTTTTAAAATAACACCAAATATCTTATTTCTGCTTACTCAAAGACGAATTTATCCATCAACAATGAGGTTAACATGCAGGACTGCAGCCCCAGTAAGTAGTCTGTAGTCCAAAAATCTCCTTATAAACTTATATACATTAAGGTTAGTGAACCCAGTGAAAACTAAGACCTATACAAATAAAAAGTACACTTAATACCGGTATGGTTTACCAGTAAACAATTTTCTGTGAAAATGTCTTCAGTACACCTGCAGCAGAAAGCTTCCAACATATACATATATCTTCCTTCTACAACAGAACAATAGTTTATCTGTCACTGGGGAGGTAAACTCCATTAAATTCAGTCTAATTCAAAATTACACTGGTGAGTCAAGTCTAAGCAGAAATGAAAAGCCACTTGATGTATAGTGATAGCTATGTTGTATTTTATATATATATAATATATATATCTCCCGCGTCAAATTGGAAGTGTCTTGGCGATGTTTCAATGAAGTCCCATTCGTCATCTTCAGGCTGGTGTTTTTGGCTTCGTGCTTCTAGGAGCAATGTGTGATCGTAGCTGTTTCTTCCTTTTAACTGCCAGTGGGGATATGAACTGATTGGGTGGGAGCTTGGCTGTGTTCTGATTGGGTGAAGGTGTGTTCTGATTGGTTAGGGGCTTGGCTATGCTCTGATTGGATGGGGGGTTTGGCTGTGCTCTGATTGGAAGGGGGAGTGTTCTGTTTGGGTGGGGGCTTTGTTGTGCTCGGGTTAGTCTGAGTTGCAGGGGGATGTGAGATGGTGAGCTGCGTTGCTGTTGTTTGGCTTCGCATTCGTGGTCATGCCTCATCTTCATGGTGGGTGTCAGTTTGCTTCATGTATGGATTGGAGGGGGTTTAAAGTGGCTAATTATGCAGCTGTGGTCTGGCTTCTGGTTTGTGGTCGTGCCTCATCATCGGTGTGGGTTTGGGTTTGCTTTTTGCGTGGATATGTGGTGGTGATATCCTGTATGGTTTTCGTGAGTGTGGGTCTGGTGTCATTCGTTGTGTACATATATAGGTATATGTATATATACAGTGTATGTATGTGTGTGTGTGTGTGTGTGTGTGTGTGTATGTGTATATATATATATATATTCAATGATGCAATCTTCGATCTCCGCGAAGAGTATACTCCAGTATTTATTGTTAAAACAACATTTAAAACAATAAAAACAGTTATATACAAGATTAAAACAACTTAGCTTTCGCTGGTCCTCTGCCAGCGTCCTCAGAGTGGAGCTTAGGGGGTGGGAAAGTTCTTTTTATCCCCTTGCTGATCCAATTGCCTACTCATTGCCCTCGTGACAGGGCCACTCTTCCTGATTGCCTGTGACTGCCTTAACTATTCCGTCCTCTCTTTTTTGCACTCTAACGTTGTATTTTTCTGCTCTGTCATCCTTGTGCCGTCTCTCCCTCCCTGCGCTGTTATCACTAACACACTCCTCAATCCCTCCTCTCTACCCAATGCAAGGTGCCTCCTCCAATTTGGCACTACACGAGTCCTATTGGGCTGCCGGTCTGCCTGCCGTTTTTGTATTCCATTGCCAGTTCCTATCTCATCTCCCTCCTCCAACTCCCCTCCTCTCCTAGCCTGCCGATTCATACACCCTTTGTTGTCCATTCCTGTCATCCTTCCCCCCCTTCCTTCAACCCTCCCACCTGTTGATTAACATATTGCTCCTGCCTTTCATCAACCATTCCTATTGATGTTCTCTTCCTCAATGTCTTTTCCTTCCTGATCCGCTGCTCTACCTGCTGTTCCTGTTTACCCTCCTCCCCCACTGTCCATCTTCCCCTCTCCAATGTCCTCCCCGTAATTTATTTATTTATTTATTTACAAATATTTATATGCCGCCCAATCCCAAAGGACTCAGTAATCTGCTGACTTGCCTGTTGTTCACCCATTTCTGTCCATTCTATGTGTGTGTATATATATACACACACACACACACACACACACACACACATACAGAGTATACACACAAATATGCATACACATACAGAGAGAGAGAGGGAGGGAGAGGGAGAGAGAGAGGGAGAGAGAGAGGGAGAGAAACCAGCTTTTTTCAACTGTTTCTGGAGGAAGGAAAGTGCATGGTGTGGTACAGCAGGGTACAGCTTTTGGGGGCACACATGCAATGCTGTGATGCCTGTAGAAAAGAAGTAGGGTTTGTGCCCCAATTATGCTTTTGTCATCTGATCCCCTGCCCCTTTCTCCTTTGCCATCCCCCTCCAGATGGTGCCACAAAGTGGTGAGCATGGAGAATGGGAGCTGTGGGTTCTAAGAGATAAATTGCTCTAATTCTCACTCCCCAAACTTGGAGAATGTCCCAAAATAATACCCCTCTCCCAATTTGAGCACTTTGCTATTAACCTCTTTATTATAATTTCAAAATTCTGCCTATAGGTTTACCACTCATTTTAAAAATGTGAGCATAGCATACGGAAGTTTTAATGTTTGAATATAAATAAGTTAAACACAATATTCAGAACTGTATTCTATCAATCTTAACAGGGTATGAAAAAGTAGACTGCAAGGGTAAATTATTTTATGCAGTCCTGAAATGTATGTTATTTCTATATTTATATACTTTTCATTAATTTCTCCTGAAAGAGTGTATTTATTCTCATCAATATACTTCACAGTTCAATAATAAAGCCATAAACCCTAATTTACTGTATTTCTCCAAATGAAGTCAAATTACTTTGGTAGCTCAGTATTTTTTTTTTAAAAAAAAAACCTGGAACTTGCCTTGTAGATCAGCCATAATTTCAAACATTCCTGGGTAGTTAACTTGGATTTCATCTGAATCCTGGAAATAGTAAACAGATTTTTGACAATCACTAGAAAAAAACACATTAATTCTAAAAATGGGACCTCAGAAATAAATAAATGAGGTCAAACTGAACATTGCTAATGATGTTCTCTCCATCTTACATCCCACTGCATATCATAGAATACTTTTTTTATTGAACTGGAGAAGCATCTATCAATAAAATGCTAACATTGCACATTGATAGAAGAATAATCTGTTTCAATAAGAAACAAAAAGTACAGCAAACCCCAACAAATGATGGTTTTACTCCAGGTTATTAAAAGAGTAGTAGTCCAGCAAGCTTGTGAAACAGAAACCTGAGGCAATAGCTAGGAGAGAGACACTGGGCTTGTATACCACACTAAGGCTTATCATGGTTTGATTGGCTACTGTAAATCAAAGACTGGGAGTTGGTGCTGTGTGTAAACCTAGACAAAATAGTTCATTTGATAAGCTATGGCTTATTAAAATGTGTTACTAAAAATCATCCCCTCCCCTGCTTTCTTTCAGTCCCCGGGATAATAAAGTTGGGGGACTTCAACCCAACTTCTTTCTGCCAGGGAGCTGGGGCAGCCCAGGGGTTCATAACCACAAAAACAACTACAGGCCTGACTAACTTATTAAGGGCCTGATGTACATGAAAGGTCATACACTAGATCTAGTTTCTGATGTGGGCAGACACAAACCAATTGGAAAATGGGGGGGGGAGGGAGGAGGAGATTTAATTTCACCACTTCTCATAGGGGATATTTTCTTATTATCATTTCAATTTATATGCTGCCCAATTCCCAACAATTCTAGGCAACTGCAATGAAAACATTTTGTTTGTTTTAAAAACAAACAAAATAGCTGTACAGAGTAAAGATAACAAGGATGCCAAAAAAGAAGAAGATGGAAACAATTAAAAACAAATCCACACAATGGACAGGGTGGCTCACTCATCCTTACCAGTCAGATTATTCTCTGCTGCCATGGAATTTTACTATGACCCCACTTTCTCCACAGTGGGAAAAGATGGGTCAGAGGGCATTTGGGGAATCTCCCAAGAGTCTGGTATGCAGTTTGATTATGATCACCCATTGGAATAATGGGAGCATGTAGGGAGCTGGACTAGATTGCACTGGGGCAACCTCTCTCTGCCTGGAGATCCACTGCAGTTTCTTGGTTTACTGAGATGAGAGACATGAAGTAGTTGAGAAGATACCTCAACACAGCTGGAAGGCCCACTTCAGGTCTGACTGGACACTGATACAAGCTCATGTTTAGTAGCAAAACCAAAATATTTTGCCATCCTACTGCCATCCAGCAGCCCTCATAATGCAACTTGCTCCTTTCTCAAGAATGTTTGACAAGACTGGCATCTGAAGGGTTGCTGTGAAGACTTAGCGTTAAAACTGCTTATATTTAAGAGGAGCTAGGCTTCACCTGGACCAACACACTAATTTGAGGGATGTCCTCTTGTGGTCTGGAATCATTATGAGTTTCTAAATTCCAAGGAAGCAGATAGAACATCTGCAATGCCAGTTCCACCACTTCTTAGGTGGGTCTCTGTTCTTGATAGCTGGCTAAGGTTTTCTATGAGATGGCAGGAAGCTGGATTGAAGCAGTAATCAGTCCTTCCTTGAGTGAAGGATTGTTTCCCTCGCCTCTTAAAGAGTAGTGTGCCATCAACTTAATAAACCTTTATTCAAGCCAACTATTTTGGATTTTAGATCCATCCCCAACCTTTCTTTTCTAGGAAATGTTGTGAAGAGAAAGGTGCCTCTACACTGTACAGCCTTAGAGGAAACAGATTATTTAGATCTTTAGAAATTGTATTTATCATGTTTGGTGATGTCTGGAATTGGGGAAGCACAACCCTCCTTGATCTCTTTTGGTACCATTGATCATAGTATCCTACTGGAATGTCTCTGAAAGATTGTAGAAGAGTACATTCAATTACTTTGGTTAAATGAACAGGATAAGGAAACTTGAACAATCTGAGACTTTGAAGTCCTTCTGCCAAAATCCAGGAGACTTCAGCAAGTAAAGCTCTTCTCCCTCAGATCTCGATCCATGGAGATGTCTATCAGAGAGGGCAGGTTCAGGTTTGGCCAAGTTTCTATAGATCAGCTGCAAAAGTTAAGTATATTGGTTCCAGTTCATAGTCTGGTTCCCATGACTACTTTACCTTATGGCCTAAGTTGTACTTTATTACAACTTAAAGATTTCTTTCAGTCAAAACAAGATAGCAATAGTGATTAACATCTGTTGTAGTTTTCTGGAATGTTTCTTCCTTGTAATGGATAATTACCACTGTCAGTGTGTTGAAGCCAGCTCTTCCCAGTAGATGTCCTAGGTCACTCACTGCTGTAAAAGGAGACACATGTGGAGAAAATCCACCTTCTCTTTCTAGTTCTGCTAGTTGCAAAGAGCAGCGAAGTTCAAAGAGTGTATCTCCCCCAAACATAGAACCAATAAATACTCCATCAGGTTTAAGGACTCGGTGCACCTAAAATCATAATTAAACCAGGCATTATCTAATATATCCTTACCTACATTTTGGTGCTAAAGTCTTACTTCAAAGTAAACTCCACCAATCTCATAGTAATGCATCATGCCAATGAAAGTCACTATACAAATACTTAGACCTACTTCATTCTTAAATTCCACAAAATCTCATTGGACATGTAACACAAGAAATATTTAACTAGTGCATTTGCAGAAATGAACAGAATTGGAAGGGGCCATTCAGTTTGGTGTACGACTTCCAAGTTACACATCTCAATTGTTAGGAAATGTATAACATGGAATAAATTCAGCAATAATTTGCCCCCAAACATATGGATCAATATTCTGATACAGAAGTGAGCAATCTTTTTGACTCTGAAAATTATATGTAGATGTAGCTACAGGTCAGGGATATATAGCAATAATACACACACATATGTATATGCATGCAAAAAAGAGGCATTCCCCAAAACAGACAGCAGGCTCTTTTTCAAATGAGGAAGAATAAATATATGGATGGGACTTCTGGGAGAAAAGACTTTCTCCTGTATCCAGTGATCTTACTTTAGCCAAGATTTTCCAATAGCAATAGCACTTAGACTTAGATACTGCTCCACAGTGCTTTACAGCAGCAGCCTCCAACCTTTTGGGCACCAGGGACTGGTTCCATGGAGAGAGGTTTTTCCACTGACAGGAGAGGGCGTGACTTTGCATACTGCCTGCATCCCATGGATGGGGCTTCACTTGTTTGCGTGGCCCGGTTTCTGGCATGCCGTGGACCGGTGCTGGTTGATGGACCGGGGGTTAGGTACTCCTGTTTTACAGCACTCTCTGAGCAGTTTACAGAGTCAGCATATTGCCCTGAACAATCTGGGTCCTCATTTTATTGACCTCGGAAGGATGGAAGGCTGAGTCAACCCTGAGCTGGTCAGGATCAAACTCCTGGCAGTGGGCAGAGTCAGCTTGCAATGCTGCATTCTAACCACTGAGCCACTAAAGCTCCAATATTGTAATCCACAGGGAAAAAGCGCAAATCTTGAGATAGGATGGGAGAGTAAGAAAGGAGTAAGAAAACTGCATTTCTGCTGTTGTTGCTGCTGCTAGTAGCTATCAGAACAGCAATCTTTATTTTCCAATCTAGCAAAGAAAAGAATGTGGACCATCTGGGTTGTATAGAGTAACCCAAGTTGCATGTGGGCTATGGATTACTGAATCCTGCCCTGGGCTGAACTGAACTTTACCCAGTTTATTAACTGCGAGCGGGTGAATACACTACAGACTAAATTTGCAGGTAGTCCTTGACTTATGACTATTTGTTTGACTGTTCAAAATGATGACCATCTTGGAAAAAATGACTTACAACCTGTCTTTGATGTTACCACTGTCGTACTACAGCTGTTATCATATTATTGCAATTTGGATGCTTGACAACCGGGTTGCATTTATGATGGTTGTAGAGTCTTCTGATCATGAAATCACAATTTGCAACCTTTCCAGCGGGATCCAACACTAAGCAAAGTCAATTGGGGAAGCTGGATTTGGCTTATTGACCAGTTGATTCACTTATCAATCAGGTGATTCACTTAACAACTGTGGTGATTTGCTTAACAATCATGGTAAAAAAATGTTTGTAAAATCAGATCTGATCACATGATGGCTTGCTTAAAGACTACTTTGCTTGGTGACTGAAATTCTGGTCCCAATTATAGTCATAAGTCAAGGACTACCTTTATAGAATGCAAGACATAATATTACAGGATAGTATCTCTTCCAACAATATGGTTTCTGTGGGAAATAACCTAAAGGAGGCTATTTTACTCCACCCCTTTTCTTTTTTCTTTGCTTTGCCAACTCACATTCAATATATCATAGCTATTAGCCATGCACAATTCTTGCTGAGTTTAGCTTGCTTGCTCTGACAAATCTGTTGCTGCTTTAGGAATACACTGATGTAGTTTCCTTGGCAACTGCAAGGATGTAGCTTATTACTGCCACCTTCTGGGATGTCATTTCAACCTCTCAGTCTAGTCCCCAGTCTTCTTGTCCCTCTCTCATCACAAAACTGGGCCTGAACCAGCTTAGCTTCTGAGCCCAAGCAAGGTAAGTCGGGAGCTGCCACCTGCATACTAAACAATGGTTAAGATGAAGTGTTATTGTCACCACTATATTAATACTTAACAGGGAGGGAACAGGTGTACTTACTTCATGCAATGCTTTGGGAAGATCATTGACCCAATGCAAACTAAAAAGTAATTACAATAGAAAACAAGTTAATAAAAGGCAAAAAACTCTCTCACCACTGTAAATTTTAGATAGCAAGGGCAGATTGGTATATTGGCACAAGAAAAATATATGCAGCACACCAGAGATGCATTTGCGCAACTCGCCAACATCTTAAGTAACATAAATGCACATGGTATCCTTTCTGCTATGCATCTCACCCAAAATTTCAGTTTCAGTGTATTGTGCAAATTCAAAACAGGTACCATCCCTTTAACTTAACTACTTAGTAAAATAGAGGGTAGTATTCAAGGACTCGTAAACGTTTCTCTTTTTTTTTTTACTGCTGATAACACACCACATTTTCTAAAAGAGTGTTCTGGAAAGGCTGCAGGAGTACACATAATAAAGTCCATTTTCTTTATATTAATCTTCTGGCCTCTCAATTATAAATTACCACGCTTGTTCTTATAGCAGGCCAGAAATTGTAGATGATGACCAGGCTGAGCCTAAGGGAAGGGTTAAATGCATCCTCAGTCATGAGTCCCTTGGCGCCCACAAGAGATCTCAGTCTAGCCTACCTTGAATTCCATTGACTCTTATCTATCGCCAAATTGCTTTGACCATTAGTAGTTCAGATTCTTGTAGAGAGCTTAAGCTTGCAATGAATCTTTGTACTCATTTGAACTGCCCAAATCTTTTGATTTTCCTGGCAATAGATAGATGTTATACTAACACACAAAACTGCAACCTCAGGAACAGTTTTAGAACCCAAGGGTCCCAATTACAAAAATCACTATTCTCATTATAAATGTTTCTGTCTGCTTTAACTCAGTTGTTAATTACCTCAGACTGCTGACAACAAGATTAAATGTGTTTTCTTTGAAAGGGAGAAATTCTTCATCCGCTATGATATTGACTCTTGGTATTTCTGAATCTAGTGTGTTTTTCTAAATCAGGTTAGAAGAGAAATAATTGAGGACTCCAGTTAAGACAATTCAACTTTTCAGTAGCATGACTTAATATCTGACAAATATCATGCAAATCTTACCAGAGCAATTTCAGCCACATCTGATTGAAAAAGCCTTCCAACAACATCCTAAAAGAAAAATAAGTGGTAAATAACATAGTTATTTTATTGATTTTATTTAGGAAACTTAGGTAAGTTTAATTAGCCAGAGGAAAATTAAGAGTAGCATGTATGTTGCATGTGATCAGGCCTTGTTTTGGCTAAACATAATACTATATATATGCACCATTAAACTATTTATTTGCATTCATTATGTTGTTAAAAATAATACTTTTGAAACATTTTATTTTAAATAATTGATCTATGGAACTACTGCTACCAGTCTAAAACTAGCCACAAACATTTTTGAAAAATCAGGTATTTTGGAATTCAAACCATGCTCAAAACAGACCTCTAGTTCTTTATCTGAAGAAAACCATTTTAATTAGCTGGGAAATGTTTCTGATCAGACATAAAGAAGAAAATACAATTAAAATGTATTCTGCCTTCTCTTGAAAACCCCACGTATTCGAAGTCATGGCAATTAATTCCAACCTTCTGCATAATTATTTAAGATTCCAACTGAACCAATGAGGTTTACTTTTTATGACCACACAGTACAGTATGTCAAAAAGCTGAAACAATGAGATACAATATGATTAAACAGGAGTGACATTTGTTATATCTTATTTTTAGCATGCAAGAAAGGCTCGATTGCTTAGTCCAGTTGTCTGATTCAAATTTACAAGATTAGGCAGGTTCCCACAACCTATTAAGTCATAATGGGATCTGTCTAGCTTCACCTTCATGTGTTGAAGAAATCCAATCATTCTGGTTTATAACCCATGGTTTATTATTTTGATGTATTGTGTAAATCAGCCAAGTGTGATTTCAATAGAAGAGAAGATTCTTATTTGTTAAGCAATCCACAATCTCACAGGTTGTACTGTACGTACAAAACCAAGCTACAAAAAGCTTAATACCTTGTTTAAATGCTGAGCAATGTAGCTTCGCCCACACCCAAGGTCCAAAGCAAGGGGAAATGACCTTAAGAATGAAAAATAGAATAGGATTAAGATGCAAAACTGTAAATCAATGATCTACTTTAACCAAAACTTCAAAGATATATTGTCTCCTTGAAGCTGGCTGACATATAGCTTAAACTGATAGCTGCAACAAATGGAAACCAGAACGCTTCTTTCACAGCAGAAAACCTTTCTGCTTTTAGGATTATTAATAGATTTTAAATTCCCTCTAAAACTGAATTAAGCATATTGTAGGGCTTATACTATGGTTCTGTTTCCTGGTTGAAAAGTATGAGAATATTTCTCAAATCTGGGTTAGTGTGGTTGGTGAAGACTTCCAGAATCCCAAATCCAGGATGGCAGTATGCCATGAAACTGGAGGCTTCAGGCTTGCCCAGTCTTCTTTGATATGCAGGGTGAGAACAATGAATAGTGCTTACAGAGGGATTTGAGCTTCATCTAAGTTATATTAATAGGCAGAGATTCTGGTTAAATGGGAACACAGACGACAGTGTATTTTGTGATGTCTCTACTCAACAGCCTTAGCCAACACTATTTTTATAGGAAAAAGGATGTTAGGTTTTAATCACTGATTGCACTTGTGGTTACTTCAATCAAACATGCCTATCTTTAGCAATGGTTTTACAACATCTTTTAGCTTCATGAGCATCAAAACTCCTTTTCAGAGGACTAGATTTCTTTCGATGGGGGCGTGATTCACTTCTACAATCCTACGTCAAGAAGATCAAGTTTTGAGAATGGCAACCAAAATATACAAATGTACAGGAAAGACCCTCCTCAAACTCACACCCAATTGAAATAACTGACGCAGCTGAGTCAAATCAACTGATTATCCTAGAATTTCACATACTTTTAAAATATTGCCTCGATATTTACAGTACAGATTTGACATAGTGCATGTTTGTGCTGTATGTTGTTTGCTTAATGAGAATCTTTTTTTATCTTACATGAAGCTCTGATCACACTGTAGGTCACAATACTTTAAGATTATAGATAATGCTAAAGATGAGTCTGCTATCTAAGGGGCAGGGCTTTAAGATAGGTGAGAGACATCTGACCAAGCTTCTGTTCAGAAGAAGACAGAGCAACCCAGTTCCATCTGCCTCATGGATCAGAAATTCCTCATCCTCATTTTTTAGCACTGCCAAGATAAAATGAAAAGAACTCCAAATAACAAATAAAATAGAATAAAATTACATTATACATATAAATAAAATTTAGATTATATAGACAAGACACATCATTTTGTAGAATAAAAACACGAGATAAAATCTTACTTGGCTATGTCAAACACACGATCGGCCATCCTACCACCGACCTAGAATACAGAAAAAAAAGTCTATTAAAATATAGACCCTGGAGACTTTCAAGAAGAGACTGGACAGCCATTCGTCTGAAATAGTACAAGTCTCCTGCTCTAGCATGAGTTGGACTAGATGAGCTCCAGAATAAGATGATCTATTCTATTCTATTCTATTCTATTCTATTCTACTCTATTCTATTCTATTCTATTCTATTCTATTCCATTCCATTCCATTCAACTCCACTCCACTCCACTCCTCTATTCCATATTTTTTGCAATCGTAATATTTGGTATTAGGATTGGGAGAAAATGTTGAAACTATTACAGAATTCACACTTCATGCCAAGCCACAGCATTAGGTTTACCAGAAGTACACTGTAATAATCCAGATGACCACTAGAGTTGTTTCTTATTCTTTGCTGCCATCATGTTTTCTAAAAAAGATCTGCATCCTAGTTGTGATAGTTCTATCAATGGAATTGGTTCACAGTACCAAATTTAGTATCCAACGCATTTTGATGCAAAAAAATTATCCTGGAACTCTTGTTTGTTTGGTACTCAACACACAAACTAGAACTTTCCGGTGTTGGCTGCCTTGTGACTCACTACATTATTCCTTATAGGAAAAATTTTCTTGGTACTCATCATTTTTGGTACTCATCGTGCCTCCTGAAATCAATTAGCAATGAGTACCAAGGTACCACTGTACTCACTGTGCTGTATAAATTTGCACAAGCAGTTTGTGTTAAATTGTAAATCATGAATTTTGTATTGATGCAACGTGTGTATATTTCCATTGCAATTTACTCAACATAACAAGATTGAACAAATTATGGTATTTAAAGATAAACTGCAATTTATAAACATTTTTGCTATCAGCTTATTAATTTTCAGGGATCTTTTGTCTTTTGATAGCATTGTGTGTTTTTTAGTGTCATCAATATTTTGAGTTAGTGTTGACTCATGGCATTGCCTGGACAAGTCCCTGTAGTTTTCTTGACAAAGCTTTTCAGAAGTGGTTTGCCTTTGCCTCTCTCCTAGGGCTGAGAGAAAGTGTGTGGCCCAAGTCAGCCAGCTAGCCTTGTGCTTAAGACAGCACTGCAAATCAAAATCTCCAGGTTTCTAGCCTGGTGCCTTAACTATAAGCAATTCTTGATTTACATCCATGGGGGGGGGGTTGTTGGGGGGGACCAGTAGTTCCATTGCTAAGCTAGGCAGTTAACTGAATTGTGCCCAATTTTACTTTTTTGTCTTAGTTGTTAAATGGATCATAAATACATGGCAGTTGCCAAGCGCCTGAATTTTAATCACATCACCGTGGAAATGGTGCAGTGGTCATGTCATATATCATTTTTTTCAGTGCCTTTGTAACTTTGGATGCTCACTAAACAATTGGTTGTAAGTTAAAGACTACTTGCATATGTAACTGCCTGGTTTTTGTTTTTTTTCCCCCCATTTTAAGCTTACACAAAACTAAAGTGCTGCTTTAGCAAATCAAAAGTTTTTACATCTCAACTACCAAAGTAAGGTCAAAGTGAAAACAAAATCAAAACGACCTTGAATCTAACCCCAGCAATTTACTTAATGTTATTGGGGTCATTAACCAATACAAGATAAATATTCAAAATATCCCAAACTAAATCGACAATGCCGGAATAGTTAAGAAAAGTACATACAGACACCACATCCCAAATGGCTAAAGAACAATATGAAATCAAAATAGGCTAAAAGGTTTGCTCAGGCTACACATGTACCGTATTCCCCAGCAATACTTGGAGGCTAGATTGCTTGGGGCTTTCCTCTGACAACAGAACTATAAAGTGAGAGGATCCTTGGTGCTCTCTGAGCTTGCTTGTTTTCTTGCAGACGTTTCATTGCCCTAACTAGGTAACATCATCAGTGCTAGAGTATTTTCAATACTTTCCAAGGCACAGCAAGAATAGGGAGAGACCTCTCCTCTCGCCCCTTCGCCTCTACCTCTTCCCGTAGGTACTCGCAGCGCTCCGCGTGAAGCTGCCCGGCTGCCCAATTCTTTTGCTTCCTCTTCATCTGCCGGTCGAAAGGGCTGAGGGCTCCAGGCCCCGTAGCGGGACGACACCCCACAGCCCCGGGCGCCGAAGGGGCGAAGCGGCGGCGGAACCAGAGACTGCTAGTAGTAGGTGTGCCTCTCACCGCGGCTGACTGCAGACGGCAAAAACCCGATGCCCGCAGAAACGCCCTCGCTTCCATTGCTCCGCCGGCGCCAGCTTTACAAAGCCTACTAGAGCTAGAAAAGAGAAAGGGGGCGAGAGCAACAAACGCATATCGGGTTCGCAATATCCGCCTGCGTCGAGTTCAGGTCATTTCTGCCCGCTAGCTTGGAGCTAGAGGGAGCTGCAAATCTATTTGAAATAAATGGGAGGAGGTGCTTATTCACACTGCGTAGCGGAAATTCGTATATTTTTTAAAATAACCCTGACGGCGAAGTTTCTTAAGTTGTCGCAAGATTGCTATGTAGTGTACAAGCTTTCTTGACTGTGCAAGTGGGTTAAAATTCGGGAAGAAGGGAAGGAAAGGCAGTAGGTGCCTGTATCAGTTACAGACAGGGTTTACATTATGTGCGAAACCAACCAATTGGTTTATTCAATAAACCATAAACAAATAAGGATTTAGCATGAAGTGTGAAACCAATCCTGACCTGCTTTTGCATGACACTCAGAACCACCAACTCACTTTCCCTCTGGCTTCTAGGAAGAATAATAGTTTGCAATTTCTGCTGACTTGCACCCTAGGGAAATAATCCAGATACTGACTTAGAAGTTCTGTTTATATTATTTACACATTTAACGCATCGTAGCTATTGAACTAAGCCAATTGCTAGGATTCAGCAACATCCTGAAACAAAAGAGTTCTCACTGGCTCTGTTTACATGACATATTGAGCTTCAAATTACCCAATCAAATTACCCAATCTATAATCAGTGTTTATAGAGGCGTGCAAATCGTGTCTAAGAAACCTAAGTTGTGATTGCCTTCTCTTTCAGCCTCATTGTATAGTTAAAATATTGCAGCACTGCATCTCTGAGCTCCAATATTTATGGTGAAATGCACTACAATGTTATTGTAAGTCATATTTCTGTGCCCCGTTGTTATACAGAGACAGGAACCGAATTACAACTGCATGCCTAAGTCTTTGCTCCAGCATAGATGACAGTGCTGGTCTTATGCTGAAGGATAAATTACAGCCTACGTTCAACCAGTGCTTCTTGGATGTGTGTTATAAAAACAAAAACGATAGAGTTGTTGAGGGAGTTCATTAAAATCCAGATTTTTAAAACGACCCAAAATAGTAGACTCAAATTCCCTTTAACGTAGTAATTCTTTGAAATAATCAGCACGCGTTTGGTCTGATAGCTTCCAGAGAGACCACGCTTCCTCTCCCCCAATCTCCGTTACCTTTACGGAGTTAAGAGAAATTTGTCTCTTTCCAGTCGCCGTAGGAAATGACGTAAATTTTCTGCGCACGGAAGTCTTTTCGATCCGTGTGATCAACGCGAGGTCTGTATAGGTGAGTGGAAATATTGGTAGACTAGAGCAACTGACACGTAATTAAGTAAGTGTGATTTTTACTGGGGAGCAGTAAAACACGCGAGGGTGTTTTCTTTCTTTTGTGTTGCCTTGTGGCTCAGGTATAGCTAATCGGATCTTGACTTTCATTTCCTTTCGCGTTGCACGTTGTTTATGCTAAATCTTTGTTAAGTGAACAGTGGGTTCAACTCTGATTCCCGCAACACGATAAACTAGAATGTAGTTGTTTGATATTAACTAACGAGAAATAACTGCTGCGTTGCTAGATTCTCAGTTAAAATACACTAGTACCTGTTACTTCCATGCATGGTGTATTGGTTAGGATCATGAAGCCCTGTTTTCAAATCTCAGTACTATACATTTATTGCTTGGTTTTGGCCAGTGTTTAAATCCTATCCACCCAACAATATATCAGTGGAAGGTAATATGAGAAAGGATCTTGACTGTACTGCTTTGATCTTCTAATAAACAATGTAAGTGTAACATATACCGTGATAAATGCATAGTACATATTTATTCAAATCTGTTAGGTTTAATATGCATATAAATGGAACCAAAGGATGAAGCAACTTGAAATCTTGTTCAGTGTTATTTAAATTTATGTGCCTCAACATAGGTGGATGTAATATGATATCTAATGTTATTCTTAATTGACCTAAAAATGTTGGATGCCTCTAAGGGCAACAAACAGTTCCTCATAGGACCTAGATACTGAATTTATTACATCCCTAATTTAAAATCACAGATATTAGGTCTGAGAGTATGTTTATGTAAAATTTTGTTTGGCTGCATTTATTAACTGAATATATTTTATATCTATTGCATATTTGCAGCATAATATCACACTATGATTTGAACTATTTAGAGCACACACTCAGTGGCTGTAGTAGCTACACATCTCAGGAAAAATATTTTAAGACTACTGTATTCTGCTGGTGGGTAGTACCACGTTTCCCCAGACTTGGGATGGTAGCATTCTGACAGCTATCCAAGCTGTAAAAGGATACTGCTGAGTCAGCAGATAATACAATAGTTGCATGAATTATTAATTTCAAAAGATTTTTTCCCAGGCAATAATATCCCATCTTTGAGATGGCATGACTAGACCAGTAGAAGGGTAAGCTGAAACCACTCAGTTCTTTTATCTTAATTTGCTGTCTGGCTTAAAACAAGAAAATTAGTGAAACATTTCACATTAGTATAGCAGCCATCAGAGATATTTCAGTTTCTACTTTTACTTTTTAGGAGACTTTTGTGAAAATGTGGCTCCTATTCCACCTGCCCCATTTCCTGGGAGAAGTGGATCAGCCTATATTCATATACTTTTTGATGATGTCTAAATTAAACTACAATTTTACAGAAGGTTAAACATTAGAGTGGAAGGAGGAGGATTGAATGTGTTTTCCTATTTATGATATGCTTCTCTGAAAATCTTATCAAAAGTAATGTTTTTAGTCTTATGGAATGCGGCTTTTTAATTTTTTATAACTTTATTAAGGTTCAACAAAAGATAAAATATAAGGAAGCAGAAAAAAGGAGCGAAAGAAAAGATGAAAAAAGCAATATTAGAAGTGCAGAAAAGAAAAAAGGAAGAAATAGAAAAAGAGTAACTTCCACCTTTTTTCAGTACAGATAAAAATATAAAATAGATTAACCTCTTACTCTGAAATTAATAATGCACAATATTTTTATAATCATAAACAATTCTAATCTTCAAATTCCAGAAGTTCCATTATTTCAGTTTCAAGCAAAACATCCAAAAGTGGTTTCCAAACAAAAAGCCAGACAGTCTTCTCTTAAACCAAAGTAGTTAATTTTTCCATCTCAGCCAATTTCATTAACCTCATCCATTTTTCCATTGTAGGAATCTTTCCACAATAAAAGTCTTCGCTGCTATTGTAATATATAGAAACAAAATCCCATACTTTCTTTCAGTCTATTCACCAAGCCTTAAAGGAAAATCTCTGGTTTTATTTGTACATTTATTTTAAGAATTCTCTGAATTAAAGTACGTACGGTAACTGATCCCAATATTTCCTAGCTTTGTTACATGTTCACCTAAGATGATAAATACTGCCTTCGTATTGATTGCATTTTTATCATATATTTGACACTCCCTCATACATCTTTGAAAATTTATCAGGTCAGTGATACTTCGTCTTATGAAAAGATGAATAGGATTTGTACACTAATGGTGAGCATGTTATCACTTAAAATGTACAAACTTTTATTGAAAATGAATATGGAACATGAATGAACATGAACGACATGATTAAATGGGCTAAAGTTTTTGGATACAATATAATGTCTGATCAATGGGAGAATATGTGGAGTAAATTTATATTGAATGATAATTTGAACTGTTTTAATTTTAGGAGATAGTGTTTCTTATGATATAATAATACTTATTTTTTCTTTATTTTCAGTAGTTCAGGTTTGTTGCATTTTTTAAAAAAGCAAGAATGGCATCTAAGAAGGAACTCACGAGTGACAAACGGTTTTCTTGCATTACAAAAGACCCTCGGTTTTGGGAAATGCCAGAAAAGGACCGCAAGATCAAAATTGATTCAAGATTTCGGGCTATGTTCCATGACAAAAAATTCAAGTTGAAATATACTGTGGATAAACGAGGTCGACCAATTAATCGTACCTCTACAGAAGACCTGAAACGTTTTTATGAGCTTTCTGATTCAGACTCTGATATTTCAGAGACTGATAGTAAGCAGACTGAAAAGAAAGCAAATCTGAAAAAGGTCAAATCTAAAGGGGGAAAAAACTCCACAAAGTCTTCAGTTGGTAGGCAAACAAGCAAGCAGGCAGATAAGGTTTCATCTGTCTCACAGTCAGATATTTTAAAAAGTGATGATGAAAAATGCAAATCATTTAAGCCAGCAAAGGATATAAAAGGAAAAAAAGCAACTGAATTTCCACAAGACCTTGTAGTAGCGCCCCCAAAGCAGAACAGTTATGATGGAATGTCTGAAGAGACCTTATGTAAAAAATCTTCAAAGAAGACTGTAAAAGAAAAAACAATGGGAAATTACAGTAAGTAAAATAATTCAGGCCACTGAAAAGGGAACAATGTTGGTTTAATATAATTGTCATTTGCATCAGTTTTATTTTCTCCTGGGAGGTAAGTTTCATTGCCTTGCTTTTGATAAGCAAATCTTAGTAAGTTAAGCCAGGAGATATATAACCTTCTCTCTTTGCATACCATGCCTTGTTTCTCAAAACAGGAAATTTATAACAATTATAAATTACTATAATTTGAAACATCCAAATTAAATCATCTTATTAAAAATATCTTTTAGTTTCAAAACATGACAAGGATTGTTAACATATTTTGAATTTAGCCCTGACTGATTCTGAAACCATTACAATTGAGAAACTAGTTTGTTTGCCCTCTCTTCTTTTCCTTGTTTCTAAAGATATTGTATGCAGATGGAAGCGCCTGATGTGTTTATCTATCTTGTCTACTAAAATAATTGAATAGCCTGACCCTATGTAACTGCAGATTGATGTATTATATTATACCAAAATTAATACTAATCTTTCTGTTGTAACAGAATTATTAACAAATCATCTGTTAATAGCATAATTTTAAAAGGATTCTGTTTGATCTGATATATACTTACATATAAAATCAATAGGGAAATTGATAAAACCTCTGGAAGATGCAGTTCAGATAAATCTTGATTTTTAAAATAGAATATCTACTTAGCTGTAAAACCTGCACGGTATCACTATTTGGGCTACAGAAGGGTATCTTTCCAAAGAAATCTATTCCGTAGTAACTGTGTGTTCCTGTAAAATAGTGGTTCCCAACCTTTTA